AGGGATGGGGGTTAAAGAATGCAAAGAATTGACTGGGACGGCGTTGGACCTTGCTTTATCTTCCGGTGTACAAAAAGTAACTCGCTATAGAGACGGTGACGAGGGAAAAGACACAATGGAGTGGCGTGTGCGTTCCGAGCCTGAATCCGGGTCTTTCCCGACACCGTAACCACGGCCGCAGCTGTTGACTTGACTTGGCTTGTGCCGTGTAGATGTAGTCTTGGGCTGACAACTATGCTATAGATGATGGAAAATTCCAATTCTTGTCGGTGATGCCTTCCGGTCTTGCCTACATGGCAACGACCCATTCCCACAGACTAGTAAATTGTATAAAGAGTGCCTCGATGCCCTGGTACTGGAGAGGCATCTGATGGTTTTTCTCCATCTATTCTGTTGACTTGCACACATCAGTGGATAGGTACTATTGGAGTTCACGGTCACCTGTATTATAGTTGTGCTGAAGGAAAGATGAAAGGTTATCCTAAATTCATACCCAGTACTAGAAAGACAATGGAAGGATTGAAAAGTGGATCTACTCGTTTATATCTCTTTCCTTCATCGTCTCTAAGCTGGGTGTTGATGGAAGAAGATCTCTAAAATCAAGATATATTCTACACGACTATATTGAAGCTTTATGACAAATTCTCTACTATATTCAACCATGTAGTGACACATAGATGAACTGTTGACTGAAAATATTGTCCATACAGTAGTAGGTCTAGAATTCTGCCAATGCCCAAAAGGAACAGCAACTAGGTGTACGCATGTACATACAAGGTAGCTATGGCTCTGTTGCCTAGTTCGATCATGTTCAGTGAATATCGGTATTTTCCTTCATCGCAGCCTGCTATCGGGTTGTCCCAATGTCATCTGGTATAATTCTCGGGAGTTGCCTCGTTGCACATATCGAGTGCCACGGAGTTCCCCTTTCGCATGGTGAAACACAAGCTGAACATGCCGCCTTCCCTACTGCTCAGGAGACTATATAATGCCTCTTTACTTGCCCACCAAGTTAACTGTACACCAGGCGTAGACGGTGACGGTAACACCACTTCCCCCGGGGGGAGACCTTCACCCACTCCCTTCACTTCACCTCACCTCCAGCACTTCACTTCCAACACTTTACCCCCATCACTTTGCCCATCACTTTGCCCTGTTCCTTTGTCCCCATTCACTTCCTGCCTCTCGCTTCGCTTGGTCTCGCACATTCTCCCTTCCCCCTCCGCTTTCCCTCCCTTATAATCCGCCTTCCCCCCATCTCGATCCCAGCTCTCTTCTTTCCTCAACCTCGCCTACTCATCGCTCTTTGCCCACCCATCTGTCTACGCCCATCTTTCCTTAGGCGGCTACGCCCATATGCGACACTGCCCATATGCAGCAAAGCCCATACGCACCACCGCCTAAGGCTGCCCACTGTAAGACCCCCCTATCTGGCTTTCAGCCGTCACCCGGAGACACCCTGTTGGAGACTTCCTCCAGTCAGGTAAGTTTGAAATCTATTTTCAAAGCCACTCGTCTCTGAACCTGCTCGATGATGATTTCTTTCCAGAGACTTGCGTGCCTGGTCTTCTGAGAGCAGGTGACTTTTCTTCTTCTATAACCCCTCTGCTCATCAACCCCGGCGATGATGATACATCTACGCTAGATGAGCACGGGTTATTACATGCCACTGTTCGGGTCAGCCTAGATTCATCTCAGGTTGAGCTTTCCCCGTCAGTTACCACGCCTCGAATGATGATAATTATAGGGCACCCAGTTGGGGTCCTATTCTGAGGGGCATTCCCTTTCCTTGCTCCCCTGCTACCCCGTTACCCTTTCATTATTCATTTGCCCATCTGTACATTATCTTGCCTTTACCTGGTCTTCCCATTTCCCCAATCTTTCTATTATTTTGCTGTCCTGGAAAGATGTGCTGCTGTCAGTCTAGGTCCCAAATTATCGACGAAAGAACTTTGGGGAGGGCTAGGAACAAGAGTGGGCGAGGCTGCAATTACACGATGAATACGCTTGGGTGGCCTTACATACTGGACGGGTCCCTTAATAATAATAACAATAAAGGTGAAGAGAAGGAGAGAGAAGAAAACAAAGACATCGATGAATAATTGGGTATTCTAAATGGCGTCATGGATGCAGCTGGAGGATGATGGATAGTACTATATATTGTTGGACTTGTTATCCGATCACTCTTCGTTCGATTCCTTGATGTCTGCGAGACCATCCTCTGGGGTCTCTTGTACTTGGCTATTGTGCGCTATTACATTTGTATTTATATCTCTTATACTCTGATCTGAGTCACTCTTGGGTGTGCCGGCCTACTTCTCTTGTCCAATACCAATCGTCTGCAGGGGAAATCATACCCTCAGAGCTTGACATAGGACATTGACCCCTTCATGAAATAACCAAATGCTCTAAACAATACACTGAACTCCCCACCTACGCACAAGATAGATACACTAAGAGCTAGAGGCAGATACCTGGTCCACATGTCCTAGGCCACCTCCCGATGGGTATTGAATACATTCGCACCGATACATATAGAGCCAGTAGACGATTTTGCTGCTAGCTACGAACGACAGGATGGGCTAGGCTCTTCTAGTTGGGCGTATTGCGTCTACTAAATTGCCGACCTGAATGCATTAATTCCCTTCCTGCATAGGCACGCTCCAGCTGCATTTCCAACGGGTCAGGATCTCGCACAATACATCACCGCTAGCACCAACATATAGTCATGGAAACTACTTCTCATTTCGCGGCAGTGTACGGTGTCTGTGGAGCTTCGCAAAACGTGTTTGATAACTATTTTATAATGGTCATAGTTGTCTGTTCATTCTACATGTCCTGGCAGACTGGTTGGAGTGGTTCAGTTGTCTTCAAATGGATACCAAGAAGACATATGGTTAATTGGGGATTTGTGTGGTTTTTATGGCCCAGAAGAGCTATTCTTGGCTTCTGGGTGCATTAATTCCCGACTGAGGGGATACTGGGCTGTGGGCCTTGAATGCTTCTGTTGGCGCGATTGAACTGCTCATACTACCTACCATAATTGCGAGCAAATGCCATCTCTAAAATATAGTTTACACTAACCCAGAGAAATTAACCAAAACACACGCATCTCGTAACTAAAAGCAAAAAGGTAACACAAGTAAGCAATTAAGACAACTCTCAATGGAGCTCACCAGCCATCCAAGTTCCATAAAAACATCGTAAAACCCCGTCGTAGACCATCCATCCACTCACCCAACATGAACCACTGCCCAGCGGCACACAGCAATCTTATGGTTGTGGTGCCTTATCAGTCAAATTAAGCACTCCCTTTTTAACAAATCAAGGTGCTGTAGTGTAGTGGTCATCATGAAACGTTGTGGTTTTCCGCAGCGCCGTTTCGACCTGGGTTCGATTCCCAGCAGCGCCAAAAATTGGCGTTTGTGCTTGATTTGACTTTTTTTTTTCGTTTTACGTTTTGTCTCTTTCATCTTGCGGTAAGAGATTATAACGTGACACAGGTGGGTTCTTCTTCTTCTTTTACTTTTCCTTACTCGATTCGCAGGATGTCCGCGGGCGAGGGAAGTCTGTTCATTGTCAAAGTCAACCTGGCAATCGCCATGAGCGTATAGGGACTGGGTAGTCGTTCAATATTCACAATCTCCATCAATGCCCACTGGGATTGTGGAAGGGAAGTTAGAAGCCATCGTAGCATTGATAACTTTCGATATTTCTACGAAAGTGCTTGGGGTCATACGATAGGGCTGTGAATGACGCGGAAAGTATGTACAGTCTCCATGGAAAAGAATATCACCTCCGAACCACAAGATGAGAGTGGGTATGTATGTCGAGAATCGCTACCAGCGCAGTCACCAAAATCTTTAACGTCTGGCGTAAGCTCTCCAATGATCGTTGCATGCTCAATCGCCGGTCACAGGGGAATTACGATATTTCACCTAACTGACTAGGTTCACTCAAGCTCCGGTTTGGCCACTCTAACCACTCTGCCCAGCTCGGGCCCAGATACCTGTTGATGGACTCAATAAGGAAGCGGCCACCATCGCCAAACAACCAGAAGTGCCGATGCCAGTGTAGAATCACAGCGTAATGAGCCAGGATTACCAGAGCTTCGGGCCGTTGCATTGCCAAATGTTCGGCATATTCTGGGCTGACTATGACAGGCCAGCCCGTAACTCCGCTTATATTCTTCAGCGAACCTCTCATGGCTGCATTCATGGACTTTTGCAGCGCCTGGACCGCACTGCGATAGGTGGAAGTAATGGCATCGCCCAATTTAGCTCCTTCAATGAGCCGCAAGAGTCTTGCGCACTCGGGTCCCAGATTCGTATCCCAATTGAACAAGATTGCTCCGTCTTGAAGCGGTTTCTTGAGAATTGACTCCTGTAGTGATTGCCACGTGGTCGAAGAAATCACGACGCGAATACCAAGTTGGAGTTTCAGGCAATGCACGAATCGTTCCAGAAATCTATCGAAACTGGTGTCTTCACGGTGAACCAAGACGTCACAGAGAGTATGCATGCCGAGGATGCAGGAGAAAAGAAATAGTGGGACACTGCTCTCCTGGTCAAATTCGAGTCTCCTTTGATTGTAAATCTCCAATGCATGCGTTTGTAGATGGGCTGCATGGCGCCGATACCACTCTCTATTTCCTGGACGCGCTACACTCAAGTGTAGAGCACTTAGTGCAAGGACTTGATTGATGAGATAGGGCGTCGAGACAACAATTCGCATCACGTCCGGGGTACCAATCCATCCAGTCTCCCCTTCGCTGAGGCCGCAAAGGGTGTAATTTGTCAAGTTGAAGAACAGCTCAGCGTGAAGCATGTTGACTGGGGGACTTTCAGAAAGAGAAGAGGGATGTGCAGGCGAACGCAGGGGTAGTTCATCCGTCACCGTGCCAGCAGGTGACGGGATCGATGACTTGCTTGACTGCGAACTGGCCGCCCGTATGAACGGATCCGCGTATTCGCAGGAGCGTTCCGAAGACCGACAGTTGGAACATATCGGTTGTTTCTCGTCGCACTGCACAAGTCAGATTCTGATGCTACAGGTGTGCCAGGCGAACCCATCAAACTTACTTTAATGTGGCGCCGCTTACATTCAAAGCAGCCATTGCGCGACTTCTTATGTGCTCTACGCGGCATCCTTACGATAACTTGGTCGATTACTGAGAGCGCATCTTCCGGCGTACGTGCGCCTAATGTGGCAATGGTGGTGGGTAGTATTGTTCCTGCCTGGCGTGCCTCGTGGTCAAGGATCTCCGCCCATGGCTCCAAATTTGGCGATAAGCTTAAAGTGTGTCTGACCAACAGTCACAACGGACCCGTAAAAAAGGTAGGGTTGCTATTTTCAGAGTTTGAGATGCAGCAGAGACTGGGACGTGTAAGAGGCATAAGCAAGCAAAGCCAGTCTGGGGGAAGTTTCACGAATCCGCGTATGCACAGACCACCTCGTCTGCCACTAAACCAGATCCGGTAGTATATCCAGGCAACGGATCAAGTCCGACACCTTCGAGAAGGGCAGAGTTCTATACGCGTATTCAGATTCTGCGATTCTATCAAGCAGAGATTGTTCTTTTCCTGCGGTACAGCCACGTGCATAATGGCGTCCAAGAGACATATAAGACCAAGGTGGATGCAGGATTCGAGTGCAATCTCGCAACAATCTCACCTCCATAGCTGGATAATCCGATAAAAGTCCCCGAGCGAAGAGACAGCCTACATTCGCCCATCATGGCCAAGCTGGAACCCTACGTGCCAGGCTACTACCTGTGGAGCTACATGCCCTCCGTTCCGGCAGCGGTTATCTTTTTCGTCCTCTTCCTGGGGGCCACCGGAATCCACTTCTTCAAGCTAATCCGATCTCGAGCATGGTTCAATATCCCCTTAGCCATTGGCGGCATTTGTATGTATTCCCTGTTATACTTATATACTCCACAAAAGACAGCCTTATGAACTAACACACAGTACAGTTGAGCTTATCGGATTCATCGCAAGAATAATTTCGCATTTCCATACAGCGGATCTTGGGCCTTACTGTATGCAGAGCGTGCTCATTCTCCTCGCTCCAGTTCTCTTCGCCGCATCTGTATACATGACGCTAGGTCGGATCATACGGAGAGTCAACGGAGAGCAACACTCTCTAATCCCCCTTCGTTGGTTGACGAGGGTCTTTGTCACGAGCGATGTTCTTGCCTTCCTCATTCAAGGCAACGGAGCGGGCTTGCAGGTGATGGATTCAATGCAGACCTTATCGAAAGTCATTGTTATAGTCGGCCTTGTCTTCCAAGTGGGCATGTTCGCTTTCTTCATCATTGTCTCGCTTGTATTCCACAAGCGTATGCAAAAGCGTCCGACATCCGATGCACAGTCACCGTGGAAATTTCACATGTATACGCTCTTCGCGGTCAGTGGTCTCATCCTGGTTCGGTCGATTTACCGTGTTGTTGAATATGCGATGGGGTATAACGGCTACCTCTTGACGAATGAGTGGCCACTCTATGTGTTTGACTCTGTGTTGATGTGGCTTGTTATGGCGATTTGGGCTACGAGATATCCTGGCGATATTCAGACAGGGAAGCCTGAGATGGAGCTCCTTGCGACAAGGAGTGATGATGATACGACTGTATGAGTTTTATTAGACCTTTGTTTGTACCTAGAATGTCATGATTTTTCAGATACACCTTAGTTGGGTGTAAGCCAGTCATACAGTGTGTGTGCGCCTCATACTGTAACGAAGATGCTCGAAATGACCGCGCGAACCTATGCTATCTTCAGCAGAGGTACTGATTTAGCTACAGAACACATCCTGCAAGCCTCCGTAGCTGAAAGATGCATAAGAAACATAAATAAACTTGATAGTTTGCTAGTAGATGACATGACATAAACGAAACTCATTATACACATGGAAAGAAAAATCAACGAAGCCAACAGACGATTGCTTAGGCTACGGATAAACCAGCAAGTCGGAAAAGACTAAATTTGACCTACAGAGCCATCGTAATCCTGTGTAACGGTTCTCAACCCCTGCATTAATATTTGGAAGCAGCAATTACTGTATATAGAACAGTCTACAACTCCCCACAGAGCCCCATAGTCCCTAAACTTGGCACTAGCCAAACACATCCGCTGATTTCCACTCAGCTCTTCTCCCCCCTCTTCGCTAACTACTTATTGTATAGTCTAATTGACGGAAGTTACGATCTGCATTCCTGACACCGAGTATTAACCGATTAGTAGTAACTATCAGACGTCCAAGACCGCTCAGTCGTATCGAATAGTCCCAAACATTAGGTGCCTGGGGGTTTATCGTATCCCTATTTTCCAACACGGCAGACCGCAAGAAAGGAAACAATAATAACTCATGGTATCTCTCTGACTGACACCTTCGAGTGACTTCCTAGCATCAACGATCGTCATGACAGGCTCTGTGCAAGATTGACATCGACTGACATATTTCAATGTGTGGTAGCTTTCAACGGATCAAGATCCAAATCACGACAAAGTTGGATGCATGGCCTGTGCAGGAACCCATGCTCGTCTTTCGCAGTAGTGCTGACGACGATGATGAAGGATCAGGACCCGCTGGCCAGGGCCAGGTGTGTTCATCGCATCCCAAATGTTGGGTTTATTGATAGAGGTAATTTCAATAAGGTTTGATGGTCAGACACTGACTGAATCATGAAGCGAGTGGCGTAACGGACCGAAGGCTGATCCGAGGTAGACAGCCCGAGACTATTGAATCTAATATTGCCCCGTTGGAGGGGATTAAAACGGGGGAAACCTCTACAATGGATACGTAGGCTTGTTGCTAAGACTTGGGCTTTTACTAATATTACCAAAGGCGAGTATAAAACACATTCTTATTACTCCTTCACGCGAACTGCATCTTTCCAATGTCGCTGGGATTCGCTGATTATCCAGCTGTCGTTACTGTTCTATATACAGGTGCCGAAACATCTCCACCAAAGCCAAATAATAGATCCTGTTATGAAAGCAAACGTACTCTATAAGGGCACTTGTTCATGCCATGTTTGCCAGATCACTTGTCCACCCGGACTATAAAAGAGGTTGATTAAACGCAACGTGTATATCTGCCGACCGTCGAATCATTTTATGCAGTAATTCCCAGACCTTCGCCGCCAGTCTTATGGTAAGGGGGCTTGGCGTCCGCAGCGCTGGTAGGGTCAAACCTCCAGACACCGCCGGTCTTGTCGCTCTCCAAAGACGTGACACCGATCATTCTTGCGAGTCGCCAGAATTCCTCATCGTCGGTGTCGTTGACGCGCTTGAAGAAGCGTCGGTCCCACTCGCGGCCTTCTGACTTCTCGACCCTGCGAAGCTCGCGCTGAGCGTTCTCGATCTTGGACTTGGCCACGGACACGGCATCCATATCGCCCCGCTCAATGCCTGCCGCAACGTCCGCCCATGCCCGCCGGCTCTCATAGAGGTCTTGCTGGTCGACGGGCGCCAGAGTCAATGGGGTGGTCTTCGTGTCCTTGACAGAAAATCTGTCCACCTCATGCTTGCGAGAGTCTTTGATGACGAACGAATCCGACCATTGTCCGTCAACAGTGTACAGAGGCTTCTTCTCGCCCTCGTTCTCCTTGAACAGGATGGCGCTGAAGGTGTTCTTCTTGCCGCTCAACCAGCCCTTGCCAGAGTAGTCAATCTTCGCCACGTAGCCAGTGCTGCTGGCAATGCGAGTGGACTTCTCCAGTTCGACGAATGGCGTTCCGTAGATAAGGGATTCGATGTGCAGGTGCGGGAGGGTGATCAGGTACCGTTCCTGCTGAGAAGGATCGTTCTTGTCCGCACCTGGGGGAGTGAGCGTCAACAGAGCATGTCCGATCTGTTTGATCTGAATGGTGCTGGAGAAGGATGCCTTCTGGGCGTTGTATCCTTGAAGCTACATTTCAAGTTCACAATCAGAGCCTCGTCGTACATGAAATCTTGAATAGCTACATACCTCAACGCCATGCTTCTCGTTTCTGATAGCATAAGCAGTAGCAGGGGGATGGTGGCTAAAGCGGTCAATACGATCCGGAGTGGGGACAGCATAACCACCTACCTGACTTGCTCACTGATCAAGGTGGTCTCGCCCACGTCCGCATCGGAATCCCACTTGCCAAGGAACAACTCTCCCAGGAAAGGGTTCAAGGGCTTCTTTTCGCTACCGAGCTTCTCACTGCGACTGCAGTACTGCTGGTGAAGAGTGCTGAGGAACCACTTCAAGACAGCCAGGGCTCTCTTCTCAGGGTCTGCTTCTTTTGCGGCAGCCACAAACAGGGCTGGGTGTTCGGCCCAGTAGGCAGAATATTCGGTCAAGGAGGTGGACGAGAGGATAAAGGGCGGGGCGGTCAAGGAGGAAAGATCTCCGTTGAAGGAGGCGATAGACTGGAGGAAGGTACCATATCGGTTAGCCAAGATCCGTAAGCAATACCGGGTTAGACAGTCTAGAGTGTGGGACCAATTGCCTAGAAGAAATCCGGTCGTTCAAACTTCATACCTTAAGGAAACTTGTCCAGGAACCTTTGCTGTGGGCGGGAACGCCGGACGCTGAATCCTTGCTGGAACTCATTTTGCAGATGTGAAAACAATATCGACTACTGATCTGATACAAGACCGCAGGACTGACTAAGAATAAGCCCTGGGAGGACGGGTGAAAAAGAGTGAAGCGGGGAAGAGAGAAGGAAGAGGGGAGAGGAACAGGAGGGAGACAGATGAATATGTCATGGGGGGGGAGAGTGGAAGAGGAAAGCGGCCGGAGGGCGATCGGGTCACCCACCAAACCCGAATTCAAGCCACCCGCGCAGGGGGTCAGCTCTTTCTACGTCATGGGTGGCTGAGCTAAGCTCTGCGGATGTTTCTTGTCCTGCTTGCTTTTCCACGGAAAGGATGACCCCAAAGGGAGGGAATCACAATGGACTGAGTTTCTGGAGGCCAACCTTATGCTATTACTGTATTCATTGGTGGTTTTCCAAATTCTCGACTCGCGTGCCACTTATGTCTTAGCTCCGTGGCGGAGATTATATTAAGCCAGCCACATCGTTATTCCTTAAGCCTACTAGGTAGTGGAGAATTAACTGAGTATTAAGATGTAATAACGGGCGGGCAAAAAAAAAAAAAAAAATGAAAATAAAGGAAGAGGAGGCGGCAAAAAGCAATTATAACAAGATGTGCAAAAATAGACCGCAAAAGAAGCCCATGACTGTTGTGCCTACAATAACTACTCCTCTACTCTCCACACCATTACCCCTGATCTCGTGATAGCTTATCAGTTGACTTGGCGACCGAACTGCGGCTGGAAGTTCCCCAACAGCTAAACTACTGACCACCAAGTAGACTCCCAGACCCGGGCATATCAAATCTATTGCTGGGTCTGTATAGTTGAACTCCAGATAAGACCTTCTGCCCTTACTTTGCCATACTGGGCGCCGTCTGTTATCTGTCTGTCGCTCAGTTTGATCGCAACCCCATTGGTTACCATGCCCAGCATGACCGCCGAGTCAAGGCTGCGTGTGTGGATCGAAGCTGACTGCAAGCTCTGACACAGTGGTTCCAGGATAGTCACTACAGACCGGTTGAGTGGTTGTAAAGGGCTTTCCGGGGGTTGAAGCTGGACGGAAGCGGAAGGTCTCATTATTGAAACCTTGGGATGTTACTGTGTGAGAGTCCTTCTCGGTAAACACCCTTCTTACGGAGTGAGACCGGGCTTCGAAGGCCTCGATTTTTGCCAGCTGTATAGGTGGACACCCATGTACATCCTCATACTGATCGATCTTGTGCCTTTCTCTTGAGGCTTTAGATCAGATCAACACCCGTCATTCGGAGTCAGCGATCGTCAGCAGCTGATCAAGTAGCCCTACAACCCAGAGACTGTCGATGATTGCCAAGTAGCACGAAATCAAGTTATATGGGAGTGGGCGCGATCGACCAGGTAAAAGCACGAACTTGTCTCTCAGCTCTCCTGAGTCGTGTGAAGTCCCCAGTCTCCACTGTGGCCCTGGTGTCTGAACCGATTACTGGGTGTTCGATACGAGAGCTGCCGTACCCCGGATGCCTTATAGGTTGTTGCGAGAGTGCTGGAAAAACTTGTGCCATCTGGAAAGCTCTGTGCAACGAGATTGTGGACTTGGCCAATTTCCAACATCGTCTGAACCTGGCTGCTGATTCGAAATGGTTCACACGCCGTTGGCTCTGCAGAAGTTCGTTCCTGGCGCCCCTGTGCCGATCGGGTTCCCACCTCCGCGGCAAGCTACGGTTCCCGGCTTCTGCCCCAAGCTTACAACTAGTTTCTCAAGCGTGTTCGGAGTCAAAAAGGCGATGAGCATCAATGGTCTAGCGGCTACCAAAGTTTGATCTGAGCTAAACTTGTATGTGGGTATCGCAGAAGTCTCTGCTCTTACTTCTCTTGGCGATTAAGTGTTTTTAGGGGCAGTTAGTTTGACAGTCTTGCCCTCTCACCGACGATAGTCGCGCTGAAAAATGGAGTCGTGACACTCCACGTGTGGTCGAGAGTTCTCTGCCTCCTGGTGGCCAGGTGCTTTAAATATACTGGTGGATCCAGGGTGCTAAGGCAATTTTTTGGATGTTTAACGACTCATTTATGTACAGTATCTAGGTGTCTGGGTGCTATGGAGCCCCATCCTCTCATTTGTTTTTGATCCTTCGAAAGTTCCTCTAGAAACACTCATTCTTTATCATCAATTGACATTTCCTTGCATAATGTACTTCCTGACTTTCTATATTCGTTCTGGATACCAAACAGAGTCATCTCAGCAATAACGGAAGCCTTGTCGCCGTGCCTGGTGTGACACAAGCCATCAAGAGTGATCTCGAACGGCGTCAATACCCAAGCAATATGTTCGACCGAAAGTTCTTGAATTCGTCCTCGACACTCGTTGTCCCTAATGGACGTCAGAGCTCCAGACATGAGCATCGACCGCCTCTCAACTCAACCATTACCCTCATTCAGGCCACCACTCATGACTCAGACCGTACTTTGCCTCATGGAAACATCCCCGAAGAGGTCCATGAGGATCAGTACAACCAGTTCTCACCTACCCGAAAGATTATTGTCGTTATTATCCTTTCGTATTCTGCTATCCTCGGCCCTATATCCTCCACTGCCATTCTGGCCTCTGTCCCAGAGATTGCCAGGACATTCAGAACAGACGCAGATATTATCACTGCCAGCAACGCTCTTTACCTAGCTTCCATGGGGATAGCTGCTCTCCTCTGGGGTCCTTTGAGTCAGATCTCGGGCCGCCGTCCGGTGAGTGGCATCTGTGCATTCATATTGTTCCTCTTACCCCTAACAGCTAGTCCCTTAGATCCTCATTGCGAGTTCCATTCTCTTCTTTCTTTTTACTGTGGCCACAGCGCTAGCCCCCAATCTTGAAGCCTACTTTATCTTCCGCATATGTGCCGCGTTTCAGGGAACCGCATTTTTAGTGCTTGGGAGTGCCACCGTGGGCGATATTTATGAGCCAATGTCTCGAGCTTTACCACTGGGATGGGTATTGTCAGGTAGTGTGACCGGGCCTGCCCTTGGTCCCGTTCTAGGAGTATGTCTCATCCAAAACATACCATTCACCTGGCTGTTCTTAACTGACACTTTCATATATAGGGCATCATGGCTACCTTCCGCCCATGGAGATATATATTCTGGCTACTTGCTGCATTAAACGGCTTCGCAGCAGTCCTTTTTATGATATTCTTTCCGGAGACCATCAGCCACAAATCAAACGCCCATTTCAGAGGGAAGAGCCTGCCTCAGCAGACCAAGCAGCTCTGGAACCACATCTCACCCCTTCGCATTGCCCGCTTGGTCTTCTCTTACCCGAACATCTTTCTCACTAGCCTCACTGCCGGCGCCTTAGTGTGGAATCAATACGCCCTTCTCACGCCTATTCGCTACGTTCTTAACCCTCGCTTTCACCTGGAAAGCCCCATTGAAGCCGGCCTCTTCTACCTCGGCCCCGGTGGCGGCTACATAGCCGGCACCTTCTTTGGTGGCCGTTGGGCCGATCTTGTGGCTCGGAAATACACTCGTATCCGCAACGGACGACGTATACCTGAAGACCGTCTCCGCTCTTGTGTATCCTTCATCTTAATTGCTATCCCAGCATGCATCCTTGTTTATGGCTGGACAGTTGACAAAGAAGTCGGGGGCATCCCAGTTCCCGTCGTCGCTATGTTTCTGCAAGGAGTAGCCACAATGTTCTGCTTCCCCAGTCTGAACACTTACGGATTGGATGTTATACAAGAGAGTGGTAGAAGCGAGGAGGTCGTCGCGGCGAACTTTGTTTGCCGGTATATGTTTGCTGCTCTCGGGACGGGTGTTGTCCTACCTGCACTTAAGGCAATGGGCGTGGGGTGGTTCAGTACCATCTCGGCGCTGTTTCTGATAGCTGTCGGTGGTGGATTATATCTGACCGCGGAATATGGCCCTCGATGGAGGGAGGCTGTTGATGCAAAGCTTCAGGCTAAAGGGGAAGAAAAGGGGAGAGAACACGCCCCAGAGCATGTTTAATCTCTTGCGACCCATTGGGTCGTCACGTCACAAGCATAATACCCAACTGCATTAATGATTAATCTCGGCCGTGTCGCGACCGGAATGACATTCCATGGTGGATTTTCTTATTCTAATGTACATATCAGAGATTTAGCACATTAAGTTATTGGCTTGGCTACCTCATATAACAGGTTTCTTTTTTTTTCGGCTAGGATAACCCACTCGCTCACAATATCTCACCACCGATTTCAGATAAGCGTTTCTCGGACAGCCTCTGAAAATGCTTCAAGAGAAGCTGTATTCGAAAGTACTCCATGTATCGACTTTGGCCCTAATGAAGACTTGGTCACGAGTATTAAGGGGACGGCTTGCGGGGATTACGGAAATAGATCGCGAGGCTGGACACCCGGACACTGTCTCCGCCCGCTACTGATCGTCTTGTGCCCCTCTTCTCACAACTATAATTCTCTCTCTTCAACCCCAATCCCAATTGTATGAAATTGTCTTGCTTCTTGTCTTGTTGTTGTATTGTGGCCTTTCACTCCATTCTAGCTTGATGGTCCACCTTCGTTTGCCGAGATCTAAAATTAGTTGACTCCACTGGTTCTTATCGATAAACCCAACGCGTGTACCCCATCGGCTCTGCCCCTCCCACGGCACCACAGCTTCGTTACATTCTATTCTGATCTTCCATTCTACCGAAGAAGAGGTTCATTACAATGCCTGCGACTGGACTGCAGAAGCAAATTGGTCAGGTATGATGTCACTCAGCCTTGATTGCCCTCTAAGAAACATCCGACTGAACTATGGCGGAGTTTAGCTCTTCGCGGTCGGATTCCACGGCCTCACCCCGAGCCCAGAAATCAAGACTTTGATTCACGACTATGGTATTGGTGCGATCGTTCTTTTCAAACGAAATGTTAGCGATGCAGCTCAACTTCAGGTAGGGGGCTTCCCAATGACCACCCACTGCTATTAGCAGTACGCCCGCGCCGAGATCCAGTAACTGATATCAAGTCTCCGATTAAAGGCCTTGACGCATGCGCTCCAAGAAGAAGCACGATTAGCAGGACACGAACATCCTTTGCTTATAGGGATTGATCAGGAGAATGGTCTTGTCACTAGGGTATCGCCTCCGGTTGCTCCACAACTGCCGGGCCCTATGGCTCTAGGTGCCGCCAACTCCCCCGAGCTCGCATACCAGGTCGGGGCGGCAACCGGTGAGATTCTGAGCGCCTCGGGAATTAACATGAACTATGCGCCCGTATGTGACATTAATTCCGAGCCACTCAACCCGGTAATCGGGGTTCGTAGCTTCGGAGATAATCCCGAGTTCGTGGCTCGATTCGCCAGTGCCAGCGCCCAAGGTCTTCGGGAGCACAAGGTCGTACCTACTGTAAAACATTTCCCAGGGCATGGTGATACCGCAGTTGACTCCCACTATGGCCTACCTGTCATTCCAAAGACACGAGAACAACTAGAAAGCTGCGAGCTGGTTCCCTTCCGTCAAGCAGCAAATGAAGGTATCGAGGCAATTATGACAGCCCATATCTCCCTACCTGCCATAGGAGATGGCAGATTGCCTGCCACCTTATCGCCTGATGTGATGAGGATTCTTCGCGAAGATATGGGGTACAGTGGTATGGTCATTACGGACTGTCTCGAGATGGATGGAATTCGTGCTACGTACGGAACAGAGCAAGGCGCTGTCCTTGCTCTGGCGGCTGGCTGCGACAGCATTATGATATGCCACACGTATTCCGTCCAAGTAGCTTCTATTCTGCAGGTCTGTCAGGCCGCCGAGTCTGGAAAGATTCCTTCCGCGCGATTGGATGAGGCCATCCGTCGTGTGAGTGAGCTGAAGAGCAGATTTCTAAGCTGGGAGACGGCGCTGCGACCTCTGGAATCGAGAGAAAACTGGCCTGCTCTGGGAGCAGATTTAGTGAAACATTCTGCGCTGGCTAAACAAGCCTATGCCCAGTCTGTGACGCTTGTTCGGGATTCCCTCCAGATTCTTCCTGTGTCCAGCTCTGCTAACGTCGTATTCCTCTTTCCTGGGGACCAGACTCCAGCTGGAGGTGCAGTGGATGGAGAGGGACTGGGAAGAAAGGGCTCTTATAACGCCTCCGTTTACCTCAACATACTGAGGCAATACAACCAAACGGTGGTTGAGATCCGATATGGGGCTGCAGGCTTATCGGCCGAGCTGACGAGTACCATTGAAGCTGCCGATGTCGTTATTTTCACTTCTATTAATGCGCGAGAGTCTCCGTTTCAGCGGACTTTAGGCTTGGAGCTGCCTAGCCGGGCTCGTAAACTGGTCAGCATCGCCGCCTGTAACCCCTATGACTTCCTGGAAGATGCGTCGGTTGGAACATATATCGCCACCTATGAGCCAACACCCGAAGCATTTGCGGCAGCTGCTGAGGTCATATTTGGAAAATCGGAACCTAAAGGCATCTTGCCGGTCAAAAATCCTCCTAGTCAAATGTCTGTTGAGGAATCAGCATTGACTAACACTAAGGATATCTTGCAAATAACAGATGTTTGGAATGCTGCTTTGCCTTCCTACTCACTTTCCGCTCAGAAGTTGCAACTACTTATAAACCAAGAACATGGGCACCATTTCGTTGCTCGCTTGGGTGCTGATATTGTAGGATTTGGCTTGACATATACCAGCACTACACCCGCAGGTGTTGCTGGCAACATTGCTGTGCTTGCAGTGGATCCTGCAAAGCAAGGCCAGGGACTTGGAACAGCACTGATCTCGAAAATCACTGCATGGTATCGGGCCAATCTGAATCTGTCACGTCTCGAATTAAGCAGCTCATTCCCAAGGTTCTTTCCTGGGATACCCAACGATTTACCGTCATCGGTACAGGAGTTCTTCCAGAAGCGTGGCTTCTCACTATGGGATACGAACCCGCGGAACGTTGACCTGTACCAAGATATAGGTGACTTCAAGGCTCCTGACGCATATATCACTCGGGCTGCGGATCAGGGATATACGTTTGGTCCACTTCAGCCCGAGCATTATGAAGAATGCCTGGCTGGACAGAGGAAAAATTTCTCTGCAAATGCGGTAAGCATACTCCCAATTTTCTATGCACCTCAGCATTCAACGTGTCTTCCTTTCCTGGTCTGACTAGTGTAAACAGGCCTGGGTGCGCCAATATGAAGAGCTTCACCCTACCAAATATCCATTCAGTGTGATGGCAGCCTTCGACTCCCAAGGAAAGCAGGCCGCTTGGACACTGATGCTTGGTCCTGACTCGCCCGCTCTACAGAGAAACTGGGCGCTTCCACCTGTGTGTGGGCCCAAAACTGGCCTCATTGGATGTGTAGGTGTGGATGCGGATCATAGGAAGAAGGGACTTGGGCTGGCACTACTCAGCCACGCAATGGAGGATCTGAGGCAGAGAGGCGCGGAGGGAGTATTTGTCGACTGGGTGGTGCTGGAAGGGTTCTACGAGCAGCTCGGCTTCAAAGTCTGGCGCGAATATCGACGGGCAACTCTTCAAATGTAGTTTTACGACATTATTTCCACAGGAAGCCATCACTAGGATGCATATAGCTACTATTATTGGACCGCATTCACGCTGACATTCCCCGCATGTTGACTGGCCGAGGCCTGCATCTCGGAGTTCCCCTTCCGAGAGAACCTCGGGTAAGGTTCCCCGCCTCGGGCATCTCGAAAGGCATCATGGCAGTGTTCCGAGACGACGATCTACACTCAAATAACCAAAAAACACCGTTCCAACAAAAGAGATTTGACATTCAATCATGTATCGCCTAAGCCGAGCCTTCCATCAAAGAACCCCCCTACCAAATCCCTTCCAAACGCGGCCTTTTCTCAAGCGACACCGCCCATTCTCCACTCTTCCCCGGCACTCATCTCCGGGACCATCTGTATCTGAAGCCCCGCTATTCGACCACTACTACGAGTGAGTAACCAGCCCGCACACCTCACCCCAGAAGTACATTGACTGACAGATTAATTCCATAAAGTGCCATCGTAATAGGAGCCGGCGGCGCCGGCCTCCGCGCCGCAGTCGGTCTGACCGAGTCAGGGTTCCGCACCGCATGCATCACGAAACTGGTAGCATACCCTATACCCATTCCCTTCACATATATAACCCCCGAACAATCTCACAAAAGAGAGAAGTGACAATGAAATTAAGTTTGAACATGATAGTTCCCCACACGCTCCCACACCGTCGCAGCCCAAGGCGGCATCAACGCCGCGCTAGGTAACATGACGAAAGACGATTACCGTTGGCACATGTACGACACAGTCAAGGGCTCAGACTGGCTAGGAGACCAAGATGCAATCCACTATATGACAAGAGAAGCGCCGAAGGCTATATACGAGCTGGAGAACTACGGCATGGCGTTTTCCAGAACAGAAGATGGTCGCATATACCAGCGGGCTCTTGGGGGACAGAGTCTCGATTATGGGAAAGGAGGGCAGGCGTATCGGACCGCTTGTGCGGCGGATCGGACGGGCCATGCCATGTTGCATGCTCTGTATGGGGAGGCGTTGAAGGTATATCAGGCCATCATAATATACTGTAGAAATGATGAACCTTGGTTCAATATAGTACTCTGGCAGAGACTGACTGACTGACGGATGTGTTTAAACTCCAGCACGATACCCAATTCTTCGTTGAATTCTTCGCCCTTGATCTTCTCATGGTCGACGGTGCCTGCGTTGGGGTCATCTGCCTCTCTCTTGAAGACGGCACGCTGCATCGCTTTTTTGCGCGAAACACTGTCCTCGCGACGGGCGGTTACGGCCGGGCTTACTTCTCCTGCACGTCTGCACATACTTCTACCGGAGATGGTAATGCCATAGTTGCCCGCGCGGGTCTTCCTAACCAGGATATGGAGTTCGTGCAGTTCCACCCTTCTGGGATCCATGGCGCCGGGGTGCTCATCACGGAAGGTGCTCGCGGGGAGGGCGGATATCTCCTCAATGCGCACGGCGAACGCTTCATGGAGCGGTATGCCCCGACAGCTAAAGACCTGGCTAGTCGGGATGTAGTAGCAAGAGCCATGAATCTTGAGATCCGCGAGGGCCGGGGCTGTGGCCCGGATAAGGATCATATCCATCTCCAGCTGTCTCATTTACCTGCCGAGCTCATTCGTTCACGACTCCCTGGGATTCTTGAGACGGCGTCAATTTTCGCGGGGATTGACATTACTCGGGATCCTATTCCTGTTGTTCCTACGGTTCATTACTGCATGGGCGGGATACCGACGAACTATAAAGGCCAGGTGCTTACTAGTAGTAGCCACACTTCCTCGGGGACAAACATCCCAGATGCAGAGGTAGAACCCGTCCCAGGCCTCTACGCAGCCGGCGAATGTGCCAGTGTCAGCGTGCACGGCGCCAACCGACTCGGCGCAAACTCGCTCCTGGACATAGTTGTCTTCGGCCGGGCGTGTGCACTCCACATCGCCGAGACCAACGAACCCAACATGCCGCTTCACAATATCCCACACGATGATACTCCTCCGTCAAGCCTAGGCCAAGACTCTCTATCAAGCCTATCCACGACCCTCCACGCAACAGGCGACCTCCCGTCTTCATCACTACGTCACAACCTCCAACGAGCCATGCAAACGGACCTCGCTGTGTTCCGCACGCACGAATCCCTTACCACAGGACTAAGTAAAGTGATCCAAGTGCAGAATGATTTCTCCACGCGACTCAGAACAAGCGATAGAAGTCTAATCTGGAATTCAGACCTAGTAGAGACACTGGAGTTGAGGAATCTGCTGACGTGCGCGGCGCAGACGGCTATGGCGGCGTTGTGTAGGACGGAGAGTCGGGGGAGTCATGCAAGGGAGGATTTCCCGGAGAGGGACGATGAGGGATGGTTGAAGCATAGTTGGACGTGGCAGAAAGACGAGAAAGAGGAGGGGGTTCGGGTGGGGTATCGGGGGGTGATTATGAAGACGTTGGATGAGGGGGATTGTAAGAGTGTGCCGCCGGTGAAGAGGAGCTACTGAAGTATACACTTTTGGGTCTTTTGTTAGATACGTGTAGAGAAGATTTTGGGGTGAAATTGTGATTGATAGAGAGAGAACCAAACGTCTTGCTTGCTGCATGTATTCGAACACAAGGTACGGGCCGCGGATGCAGAAACGGACAGGGTCTCTTGCCCGATGTAGCAACTTAGCTACTGGACCCGCTGCCGAGGTGCTCCTGCATGGCAACTCGCAGTCCATGCCGGCGCTATTGCTTGTGTCTAGATGCAGTTTATTTGGGGGTGGGTGGCGAAATTGGTGTGAGACGAGATGCAGAGAGAGGAGGGGTAGGTGTCATGATGGTCCTGAGGCCGCCAATGCTCGAGTATAAACCCCCCCTCTCTTCCCCCCTTCTTCTTCCATCATCTCCTCTGAGTTCCAGTCAACAAAATTTTATACAGTGCAGGGCATTACAAGAATCCTTTTCTGTCATATCGCCTGCATAATCTCCGTGGAGGAAGCAGTTCTACGTATTTAGCGAACACCGAAGCACTAATCATAGATTATCATTTATTAGAGTAATACATGATCTTTCACTCAGTGAAGATCTTTGCAAGCACCCTCAATTTCACTGTGTCCTGCACTCAGATTCTACCCCGTGATTAGAGCGCGGAAAATCGCACTAAACGCCGAAAACTTCGCGAAGCAACATAGCCACCAGTACTCCGTGTCGAAAGCAACGGTTTCATCGTACGCACACGAGAAACTTGAAGTGCTCATAGACAGATGCATCCCGCTTAGCCACTGGAGGCAAGGTGGTCAAGCTTGTACAAGGGCTCCAAGTGAACGTTGCGCCGGAAGATGTAGCGGTTGATCCACCAGGGAAGCACGTGGAACATCTGGTAACGCATATGGATCCGAGTCGGGACCCCGAAAATGTAGTCAAGTTCTTCCAGAGTCCGCTGCTTGGTCTCAGGGACCCACAAGAAGATCATTACAAAGGCAGTCACGTTCAACGCCCTGCCAGAGATTAGGATGACTGCAAAGGAAATCTGAGTGGAAGTAATCAGGGTATGTGACTTACGCGTAGAAGCCAAATGCACCAGTTGGAGTCATAACGGCCAGCATACGGGGAAAGGTAATGGAAAGTACCGCAGCCCAGCCGAGACAAACTGCCACAGCCCAAGCCATTCCGACCTCTGCTTTCGTTAGTCTGGTTGTGATCTGAGTACCAAAACATTCACACTTACCACGATGGGATAGAGGGAAGACTTCGGCAGAGTAAGTGAACGGGACTGGTCCCTCGCCAGGAGAGTAGAAAGCTGCGAACATGAAGACAAAGAGAGCGATGCATGCCAGATGCGCCGTCTGCTCCTTGGGAATGTAGAAACAGAAGCCTGCGGCCAGCAGAGTCCAGGCCATCTGGGGGAACGTAAACAAAAGCAGAGCTCGCCGGCCATATGTGTCAATGGTGAACACCGCCGGGAATGCAAAGATGAAGTTTACAAGTCCAAAGCCCCAGGAGGCAAACAGTGCTTCGGTGACGTTGGCTCCTGCCTGCTGAAAGACAGTCGAGGAATAAAAGGCAACGATATTGATTCCGCACATCTGCTGCGCAATCATCACAACGAAGGAAGCAAGAGTTGCACGGCGGATACGAGGAATAGTAAACAACTCGACAAATCGGGTGGCATAATTGCTTTCTCCAGCAATATCCTGCTCAATCTTGATCTGTGCGTAGATGTAGTAGAGATCACGTGCGGCCTGCAGCTCAGTGTTGCGCAAGCGGCGCAAAGACTGGTAGGCGTTACGCATCTTTTCCTTCTTGATGTACCAGCGAGGCGACTCTGGACACATGAAGACACCAATCAGCAAAGGAAGCGCTGGAATAAAGGCGGAACCGAGCTGGAGTCTCCAGGAGATCTTCCCAGTGTCTTTGACAGCAAGGTTCGCGGAAGTCCCAAGGAAGATACCAAAGGCCGTCCACAACTGCCAGCACATAACGAGTCCTCCACGAATAGAAGCCGGGGTGTTCTCTGCACAGAACATTGGGATTGTAGACGCCTTCAAACCCATTCCCAAGCCCAGCAACAGACGAGTCACGAACAGCTGAGGCCAGGTCTGACTGACGGCAGATCCAATAGGAGCAAGAAGGCAGAAGATGGCAGACATGAAAATAGCACCACGGCGGCCCAGATACTTGTTCAGTGGGTCGGACAGCCAGCATCCGATGACAGCGCTAGACATGTATGGAGCCCTATCCAAGCATGTTAGTCGCAAGGTTATCTTAACAACATACGGGGGACAAGGGTTACGCACGCATTAACGGTACCGACAAGCCACTGGTTTCTTGACGCGTGGGGACCAGTTTCAGGAATTCCAAGCGCAACAGGGAAAGAGAGGTTGGCGCCTAGATGATAGATTGATATTAGCGAGAGCTTCTATATCAGAGTTTCAGGCTGTACTTACCATTACTTCCGGTTTGATCCCAACCCCTGGTGGAGAGGTCAGCAAGATTTCACTAAATCATCATCCAAGGTATGATGAGAAGAGGCTAGAGTCTTGAGTGTAATACTTACTGGACAGCAGCTCCAATGGAGCAGAGAATGATAGTGAAGTAGAGAGCTTTAGGCTGACGCCACTTGTGATCTTTCTCATCACGAATGGCAGTAATCTCATCACTAGTCAAATCTGGAACCGAGTGAAAGTCTTCGGGATCGCGTGCCACAAGGGCTCCTTTCTTAAGCAAGGGGAAGATATCAGTCAACTGATATTCATTGGCAAAGTCTTCGACATCTTGCACCACTTGAGCCGGGCTCAGGTCCGCCAAGGGATTCTTGATTCTACAACGAAAATGGTTAATGAAACACGACCGAATCACCAAAACCAGTATAAGTGACTTACTTGGCAGAAGTATTATTGTTCAGATTGATGTGCTCCGTAGTGCCCTTCTCAGTAACGTCAGGCTCATTGTGACTGCCACTAACACAACCGATGTGAGTATATGTGAAAGATAACGGGAAACTAAACATGAAAGACACATACTAGGGGTCGACAGCAGAGTCAACTGCCTGAATTGGGGCCACGGCCTGAATCGGGGCCACCTCCTCCTTTGCCATGGTGTTTGCCAGGCTTAGGACGACAGAAAACGCGTCTGGCTCGAGTGCTTGCACAAGATGGAGTACGGAGAATCACCAGCCGCGACGATGTCAGTGATAAGAAGAACGGGGCGCGTCGAAGCCGGGGGCGTGGGGAAGTACGGGGATGAGAAAGAATGCACAACAGATGCGGGGTGAGATGGAAACGAAGTTGGGAAGGCGGAGGGGGATTAAAAGAATTGAAGTGAGCAGGTGCGAGGGGAAGGGAATTAAGAAAGCACTGTTGGGAATCGTCGGGTTGAGCCCTGAACAAAGAGGCGAGGTCCGGTTGCATTCACTTCACCCTCCGGCTGCAGGAGGCTCTTACCAAGATGGAGGTATTGTGCGGTACTGTGATGCCTCCCTTCTTCCCCGCGGGGATTCTGAACCCGGGGTAGAAGATTTAGTGGCAATCCAATCAGACGTGTGAACAGATGTGATTGATAGAACATGTATTATCTGAGACCATTAACCTCTTTCTTTCAACAAACACATTGGAAGCGGCACATGGCCATTCTATCTAGAGCTAACTGGAATAACCTGTCCTTGATAATGTTGATTTTGCCTCAATTCCGGGCACAATTACCTGGTGTACGGTAACACGATGCTGTGGACGCAAGTATTCTCATCGTAGTCAGACTTGACATGCTCTTGTCCGTCTAACATATGGAACTACCACAGCTTGTCTACTCCGGACATTCGTTCCGGGCGATGGTAAGCATTTGCCAAAGCGGACATTCCAAGAAATTGAGGCAACCATGGTACAAGCAGCTGACAGGTGGCCAGATAGACTGAAAGTGAAAGTTTACACTGATTCGGGTTTAAACGCCTTCGTTTTAGCAGGGAATGCATGGTGGTGGAGGTGGGCTAGTTTAAGTCTGCTGACTTCAGCATAGGTACTCTGGTCTCCATTGTCACCTTGTAAGCACTGACCTGTGGGGGAAAGGTAGCATGTTTACATATAATCGCAGAGAACATTATCCGCATGCAAAGCCTCAAAGAAAGCTAATGCAATGCTAGTTGCATCAGATGATATTCTTCGGGCCTTCCATTATCCCTGACCCTAACCAATTCTTTCAACTTCCCTACAAAGCTTATCGTGTGAACGGAATTTAGATGGTCTCTATTAAGCCTGGCTTAGACCAGACGCAACACATACGTGGCAAATTTGACCCCCGAAATTAGGCCTGCCTTTTGCTTTTTTCTAGTCTCTTCTCGTTTGAATCCTATGGTTCCACTTAGCTAGTGTCTGCGTCGATTGTAACGCCATCAACGCCACCGTGGATTTTGCTTGCCAAGTGTTGACATTTGGAGCGACGCCGGCTGGCAATGTTAAGCCAAATGTAGATTGGTAGGCGGATGTATTGGTCACCTGCAGCCGTACCACTGCTGCTCAATAATATGCTGAAATCTAGAGTTAATGCAGAAGCGATTGGACATTGGCGTTCTTGGTTTCAGAGGACTCGACAAGAGGTAACATGAGTAATTTAGTCGCGGCCCTAACCAGTCTCTGTTCTCACAAAGTAAGCCTGCCAATTCTGTGGAAGTACTGTCTATATTCCTATTTCATATCCACGGAAAATTCATGTCCCCACTATATTCGCCCTTGCGTCATGCTCACGTGGAGTTGAGAGTTTATCGGAGAAGAATTGAGGACAGCAACAGCAGACAGCTCTCACCATAGTGCATAACTCGTTCTTCTCAAAACTACCCTGGCCCTTGGTTGATTTACAAAGACGGTAAGCCACGCAACTAGCCGATTCGATCAGGAGGTGTAACCGGACGGAGTATTTTTGGGTCAGGGGCGGAGCGAGGGTCTTCTTGAAAGGATTCGTGCCCAGTCGACGAGTTTCTTTTGCCACTACGGATCCGAATGCTAACGGCCATAATGCAAAGATTCCAATGATTATGGTTAACTTGGCCGTTACCTGAAAGGGTAAATATTATTGCCAAGTCATACCCCGCCTTCCAAGTCGAAGCTAGAGTGTTGTTCTCAACAGGTGACAAAACCCGCTCGTTGACAAGGCGGGTCGAGGTTCGATCTGGGGTTACAGCACCATGTGGGGATGAAAGGGATAAAGGGGTCTCGGCCGGAGGTTTGACTGGACAAAACCTGGATTAGGCTTAGTTAGGCTTCAGGACGGCACCCGACGGCCCTCCAATAAGCTTGCCCGCGCATCCTTTTACCATGCTGGATCCAGACTTTTCCTGTGTTCCCAGCCGCCTGTCCTGGCCACCTGCCTTGGATGACCCGCTCGATACGACACGGCCTGGGCAACAGCCTGTAAGTCGGGGGCTGGTGTCTGGGCATTCCTCCAGGTTGCTTCCGTCCTAAGCCTTACCCGGATTTCGATAGTCCTGATGTAGGTCGAGTTATAATTGATGGAGGAGGTGAACTTCTGATAGCGTATGCACCGGGTACTTGAAAAGAGGTTCGAGCTTGTCTGGTTATCTGGGGATTAGTATTATACCATAATCTTAAAGGGTCAAGACAAATCATGGGTAGCGCACAGCAAAAGTCTCAGCTGGGATCTGAGCCCAAAAGACGCACTTCAGACAACCCGACTAGTCATTTTCCGAACTAAGCTGCTGTAGCCTTGACCGGGGTCTGAGCAGTCTCCCTCGGAAGGGACCATGCGACGACACTTCCTACAAGTTCCGACTTTACGACCCCAAACTGTACTAGCTGAGGTAGGGCTGCCTACCAATTTCAACCAATATACCCGTCGTTACGCTATCTAAGTCCTCTTTCAGGGCTCTGAAGGCTATGTAAATATACTATCATTGCAAATCGAGGTGACAGACTTGCGGGCAGTAGCGGTCTGCCATGACATGTTGGTACCACAATGAGCCCCGCTGGTTCTCCTCATATCGGACCTTCTTTTACATTGCACTACGGAGTCGAAACATAATGTAACCTCATCAGCATGTAAGCACCAGTTGAAGGCGCAGCATCAAGTCTGGGCCTCGGAACTAAGACTGCTGTGACAGTGATCAAGTGCGTGCAGGACAATACATGCTTTCCTTTACACCAAGTTACGCTGACTACCCACTATTGATGGCCATATTAACGGGGAGGTTTGACTTCAGGCTTTCTACTTCTTTTCTGTTAGACAAGATTAAGGATACCTTTCCGGTCAACTCCATGGACTTGCTATGGAATACTTACACTCCACAGATTACCGTAAATGGTTAGAACACATATGCGGGGGATCTAAAGTCACGTGCGAGTACCAACCAAAGGCCCGGTTCCGAGATGGCCGATCGATGCGTGATATCAATCTTCCTTCGAAGGCCAATGCCTTGGGAATGTCATTGTTTACGTCTTAACGGTGTGACAATGTTCTTATTAAGATTGATATGATATGGACTTTCTACAGCAGTCCCCACCGTCTGCGCAGGACCTCTTGCGCACCGGAGAGCCGTTCGTCCCGTTTTCCGAGTATTCTGTTCAGGACATCACCCATCTATCAGAAGATGAAACCACAGGATGGGTGGAGACCAAGCTCCGTGATGGAAAGCCATTTGTTATACGTGGGTTTTCTCATCTGAAAGAATGGGATAGGTCGATCTTGAACAATGAGAGACTTGGCAGCCTCTCTTCCTCAGCAGGTATGTCCACGACCTTAGAGCTTGAAAAGTGTAGCCGTTGACATTTTCACTCGTGAATAGCGATACCGGTAAGAAACTGCCACACAGGGAGAGATGCGAAAATGCGGCTTCAAGATCTCCTTTCGCAGACAGAATGTGCTCGTGCCGGCAATGTCCGAGAGTTGTATGTTAGACAATACGATTCCGAGCGTTGGCCTCTTTGACTGATAGGCAAGCTAGTTTGTACGCAAAAGATCTTCAGTGCCCACAAGCGTGGATCAAAGCACTAGAGGCATTTCTTCCTTCAGCTATGCGGCACCTTGGGTCTCTTGATTTATTCCGGATGTTGCCAAAGGAGACGGCTCCGGAGGTTCTGATGGCGTATGTTGGGACTCGGAAATCTTCGTGAGTCTCTGCTGCCTTCCATGCGGTGATATCCACTAACTTTCTGTAATGGGATAGCTCAGGATTTCACAGATGCTTTAGCGGAACAGTTGCTTTGAATCTATTAGTTGAATCAGAAGGTGAATACTTAACGAGACATATCTGACATTCACGACAAACGTTCTGATAGTTCGGCTAGGCGCTGGCCCTGGGTCTCTCTGCTTTGGGACTGATAAAATTTCACAAGCCGCGTACGACACATATATGGAGAGACTGGGGAAGTCTCCCCATACCGATTGGACCGACGTTTCTACTACCCAGCTCAAGTCTGCCGATTTCCCCATATACGTTACCCACCAGCACCCTGGAGACTTGGTAATATTTCCTTCAGCTACCGCCCATCAGATTTGGAACATCAGTTCAATGGTTACAAAGGTAGTTTGGAATGTCATGCATAGCTCTTCGCTTGTCTCTTTCTTCGACTACATCCAGCCATTCTACCAGCGATATTGCCATGCAGACACTGGCCGAGTCCCTTTAATCCCGTTACATGCATTAATCCGAGGGTCGCTAGGAACGGAGGACGAAGCACTTCTTCTGGACGTCTTTCTGAAATTGCTCGATGACGAAGCTATTGAGACTGATTCGGACCCTCCAATGAAGATTGTGGATACCCAGGGGGCCGTGGTAGAATGTAATTTCTGCGGCTTGACGATATGGAATCGGCATTTGCACTGCGAGCAGTGCGGCGACTTTGACTTATGTCTGACATGCTTTATTACTGGACGCAGCTGCAAACACGTCGCTGACTATACATGGGCCGAACTAATTCCGCGTGCCTACTGCATGGAGGTTATCCAGTCGACACGGAACAGACTTCGTGATCGATTACTCTCCCGATTCAAACGTCCAAAGTATGACCTTCCCTTCAAGCATCCAGGCTTAATTAGCCTCAAACTGTGTGCCTTGTTTCGACGTCAAGAATTTTAAATTCCTATGTAACCACGAGTATGTCTCTAATTCTACTTCCAGGCAAAAATCTCTGGGCGCCTTGGCTGCTGCTGCGGCAGATGCACGGAAACAACCGATGATGGTACGAAATCACCCCAGTATTTCTTTTTGGCTTGGCTTTGAAGGAGCGCAGACTAAATGGACCAGGAGCGACTTTGTCACTTGTGTCGTGATAGTCATCCCGCCTGGAAAGGGGTGGCATGTACCCAATGCTCCGCATTTTTCTGCTTCCGGGGCCTCCATCGACACTTTGACGTGGATTTGATACCCTTTCTGAGGAACACAGATCCATGGGTATGTCCAAAGTGCTCCCATTTCTGCAATTGCCGGTGCTGTCACTTTCCTCTCCCTTACTCTAGTAAAGACAAGCCTGTGCGGGCTCGGATCAAGTCGATTGATCCTCGCGGACGCATCATGGGGTTCACCGACAACGTGTTTGATCAAAAACGAGGCAAAAGAGCTAGCATGGCTGCTCATAGCGCATCCCTCCCGCCTGAAGTGCCTTCTCGGGCACATAAACGACCGAGAAACCAGGTTAGCGATGAAGAGACGGAACTGCCACGACAGCAGGAAGGCTCTAGTACTTTTACAAATCGTGGTATAATACAGTCGCATAGTACAGAGGATACTATTCACTCAAGCCCTCGTCCCTATGTGATGTCCTCACGGAGTATAGGCCCGAAAGGGCAGCTCCGTATCAGTGACCTCGTTGAGAAACATAGCCCTGCTGAAGCTGAACCTCCCTTTCCGGCTCCATTTAGGCACGCTTCCCCTCTACTTTCCCTGACGCCAGGAGATGGCGCATTCCGACGGCCGGCCAATGAGCCGAGTGTTCCAGCCACTACAGATGAAGCCAGCATCTCCTTTCTCGAAAGAAAATTGGAGGAGCTTCGTCGATATGCCGATGAACTTCTGGATCTTTCCCTAGTGGACTCACATGCGAAGGTTCTGGAGAAGATCGGTCAGTTGCAGGGTCAGATCGAAGAGCGCAAGCGACGGAAAGCGGAGGCACTGTTCGACAGCCTCGATCGGGATTTCCCAGAACTTGCCACGGTTGCGAGAGAGGAAGCGCGAAGACGAGGACTGTAAATCGGGATCTAGCTTATATAATTATTCGTGAAGAGCGAAGCCGATAAACACTGGCCCACTAACCCAGGATTAAACAAGGAAGTCAGTAGTTGTAGGCTAGGATTTGCAGGTGTGAGGTAGGATGTATAAAACCCTGATGCTACCTTGAGAGACACCAAGAAGTACCCCTGTAACAAGAGATCTTCAGCAAATAATCAAAGTTTACCAATGACCTGCAGAAACATTTAATTCTAGGCTGCGTGAGTGAGGCCCCTGGAAAGAAGAGGACAAGGCGCCCGACAGCAGAACAGCGGAAGCGACCCAGGGAAGCAGGCGGAGTTCCAGCCGGCGTCGATCGTCACCTCCACTTCTCCCTCGCCCTCCCACATCACTCCGGACTTTCCCTCCCTTTCTTCCATCCCGGAATCAGTCCAGTCTTGCTCCTCGTATCGTGATCAGCTTGAGAGCTCGTCCTGATTGCTCTTACCGCAGCAATCAACCCTCAAGCTTTTGTTGCCTTAACTTTCTCTTTGGTGGACCAAGCCTGGTAGGTTTCATATTTGTTAGCTCATTGTTGGCGCCCTCTAGCAACGCTCCCCCTCCTTCTTACTCCGCGCAACTGGCGGGCCTACCTGGGTTTCGCGCAGACGAAGGGACCCGTCGATTGACTCACTCTGGCGAACACATCGCTTTCTTGAAATTGACAAGCCGCTAGGCCTCGTCCTTCGCCGTGAACCGGCCATCCCACCCCCCGACGAGGGCTGTCGGTAGCAGGCCAAACACACTACGAACCCTGACCGCCTCCACCACCCACAACTAGCTCTCCTAGGGACGATTCCACACACTCTCGCCCTCCCTCTCTTGCCCCTCCGTTCTTTCACTTCCAGCTGCGTGAAACGCTAGCTTCAAAATTACTCACGACACACCTCTCGACGCCGCGAACCGCATCTTTGCCCCGCCATGCCCTGTTTCAAGGGTCTCGCCGTGAGTATACACACTCCGGACGGACCTATCTCCGAATACTCCATTCAGCGCCAGTCCCGGGCATCTCGCATAGCTTGCTACATCCCCGTACCACCACCCAAGATCCCCGAATCCGGATCCGGGCGCCCTGAGCAATCGACGTTCGCTATCTCCATCACCCTTCTAAACCCCGGCCAAGACGTCCCATACTCCGCCCCGAAACCGACCCCGGACAACCCCGCACCCAAACCGAAGGTAGTTGGTGGGCTACCCGGGTCTACCGGGGAGCGTGGCCAGTACAGCAGCACGGTTGCTCCGTACCAAGCATTGACCAATTCGGCAAATGAAACGGTCGCCGCCTACATCTACTTTGATGGCCGGGCCAAGGAGGAGGTGGCCACACTGCTGCGGAGAGGTGAAGAAACATGGGTTAATTCTCGATGGGTCAGTGTACCGGCATCAGAGGGCGGGGGTCTCGCTGAACGGGAGTTTCTCTTCCGTGAAGTCGGGCTAGAAAGATGGCTGAACGGCTTGGATTTGGAAGGGAAAGACGCTGCCGCCAAGATTGAGCGCCGACGACAAAAGATGGAGAAGCGCCGAATTAAGCGTGAAGCAGCTGGCGATCTGGATATGGAAGCAAAGTCGGGCAAAGGAGTCATGCGCTACGGCAACGATGCAAAGTCTCCGCTAGAGGATGTGTCGGACGACGACATGTCGTTCTCCGATTCGGACGATGACCCGATCCCCGAATCCGCAGGTCAGATTAAGGTGGCTTTGTTTCGCGTCCTGGCGTCTGGGGAAATCAAGCGCGGGGAGTACTCACCACAGTTCGATGCTCACGATGATGATGACGAAACCCAGGGCGAGAATGGACATAAAGGGGCAGCTGATGCGGACATTGATCACACAACGAGCTTTGCGAAGCCAAAAACACTCGACCCTAAGACGATTAGCACGCAGACCGTGACAGGCATCGATCCGTCCGACAAACCCTACGCCATTTTCACATTCATGTACCGTGGCGAGCGTGAGTTTATCCCCTTTGGTTCTCTGTAGATTCATCGACTGATTAGGTCACAGGTCAATTGCAAAAGATGGGAATCTTGAGGGACCCCAAGGCGCAAGAAACTCCCGGGTCCGCAAAGCGTCGGTCTTTGCAGCCAGACTTCGCCAATCTCGGTCCCCTGAAACCCGGCGGCACGGTCGGATTTGTGAACTTCCGCGACAACACAGAAAGAAAGAAAGGCAAGAAATCTGGTGAGGATGACGAGATGGACAGTGAAGACGATGAGGACAATTCAATTCTCGGTAAAGCAGATGAAGAAGAGGGCAAAGAAGATGATCTCCATTTGTCTCCGGACGATATCCGACGGCAAGGGGAGCTCGCGGAAAGCATACGCAAAATCAAGGTTCGTCAGGAACTAATTCTCAAGTCTCTACCACCGACTGACTGTTGTACACAGCTTAAACGTCAGCATTCGTCTGCCTCGTTAGCTACGAATACCCCCCCAGCCGAGAGTGCGAGTCCCAATACAGCCGGGGACACGCCTGTAACCAACAATCCGTCCACTACTCCGCCCGCTGTTGCTGCAGCTACGGCCGCTGAAACCCCCAAGCCGGCCACTAACACGCTGAACGGAGGTTTTATTGGCAGTCCATTGAAGAAGCAGCGGGCGAGCGTCTCGCATTCAGATGAAGACGCCATGCGTCGACGAATGGAGTCGGGGCTTTCCCAGGAGATCACGAATGTTGGCCCAGGCGACAGTACAAAGGCAGCCAACCCTCCTGAGACACACCCGCAAAAACCGCAGGAGACCGAAGATGAGGAACTATAGCCGGTTGCTCCAAACTCCTATCATCCATGCCCATATTTAGCGATACAGATGTCTACCCACATCTTTTTCAATTCTCCTCTTCTTTTCTTCTTCACCTCAGACGCCACGATGGACTGGTGTGTGAAGGCGCGCCAGACAGCTGTGTCAGACCGCAGCACCATCTACACTCTGATTTCATCTTTTCCTCAATTTTTATTTACCCTCCCAACTACAGTTGACATCTACGGTTTGGATATGGCCCATTTCTGACGAAATCATCATGACTAAGTAGCTTTACCCTTCTTCATTTTCATATCCAACTCTCTCAGTTCCGTGGGCGGCTGGGCGATTGATTCTCTAGCTAGAACGGAGGGCAGGCGAAGGTAATTGATATAGACGCAATGAGTCACGCAAGTTGCATTTAGCGATTTATTCTACATCCTTGAATGCAGCCCGTACCTGTAAAGCAAATGGAAATAGTCGTAGGCTGTAGTCAGCTTCGATGGCTGCCATAGCCGTTGATTACGCTGCTGCGGTGGCTCCCTACCGTGGTCCGTTTCGAGTGGAGAGCCGCTCCCCGCCGACCAAAAATCTCTCTCTCGCTCATGTTTTGAGTCCCACCTCATGCCAACAGCTGCATTCAATTCTTGCTAATCCCTTGAAGGAGTCGAAAGGGATAATTACTCACTGATCCCAAGAGCCATGCCATTGACACGTTCCTCCGATCCCCTAGTGTGGATCGACTGCGAGGTGCGGCATTCCTCTGCTTTTACCCCTCTACCAGCCGCGACTGACGAACCCCTCCAACATTTCGATCGGCGTGTAGATGACCGGCCTTGACGCGGACACCGACCAAATCCTCCAAATCTGTTGCTTCATCACCGACGCCAATCTCAACCTCCTCGAGCCCCAGGGCTTCGAAACCGTCATCCACCATCCGACCTCAGTCCTAGACAACATGAACGCATGGTGCATCGAGACCCACGGTCGCACAGGGCTAACGGCGGCCGTGCAGGCCTCGACCACCACCGCGGAGGAGGCTGCGACGGCTCTTTTGGCCTATATCCAGAAATACGTGCCACAACCCCGGCGAGGGTTGCTGGCAGGGAACAGTGTACACGCCGACAAGGCGTTTCTGGCTAAGGGACCATACCAAGCGGTGCTAGACTGGCTACACTATCGGATCGTGGACGTGAGCGCACTCAAGGAGATGGTACGACGGTGGGGCTCAGAAGAGCTACTAGAATCCGTGCCAGGGAAGAAGGAGGTTCATCTTGCGCGGGACGATATTCTGGAAAGCATCGAAGAGATGCGATTCTACCGGGGGCGATTGTTCGGATTCTAGCCGAATGTCTGAGCGAGGGAACGGACCGGGAAGCTCTTCCCAGAATCCCAACGTACACGAAGCATAGAGAGGGGTAGACCCCAATTACAATGTAGACAGCTGGATGGATGCCCAATGGATCCAGGATTGCAGCAAGAATGGCCGGTTTTTCCCAGGTATCTGCAGCTCGAGTGCCGTAGTGTATCGCGATGGAATCGAATGAAGCTCTGGCCTGAAGTCATGCTGACATGGGCCCCTCCTGGTGGGGTCCTGGCGTTGGGCGAAGACTCGAAAGTCGAAGCTAATTGTCAGTCTATATTTACTTCCTCCCCGCTCGTGTCTCGCCGGCTTCCCTTCCATTCTTTGCCCCTCCCTTCTCCTGCTCCTTTTTCTCCCCCTGTTTCTCGCTTCAATTGTCGGTGAGCTTCTCTCCCGACTGTTCTATATCTTCCCGTCCATACCCCTCCAGCTTCCCCTCCCTCTCTTTTTCTATCCGTACCGTCTCTATATCCCCTCCCACAATGTCCGTCCAGACCGTCTCCATTACTCCCTTCACCGACCAGAAGCCGGGAACGTAAGTACCTTGTTGTCTCCACTTGCTTTAATCTTCTCCGGCTATGAATTGCCCTTAACTCTGACAACACCAGCTCCGGTCTTCGTAAGAAGGTCAAGGTCTTCCAGCAGGCCAACTACTCCGAATCCTTCGTTACTAGCATCATCCTCTCCATCCCCGAGGGCGCTGAGGGCGCTTTCCTCGTCATCGGTGGCGATGGCCGCTACTACAACACCGAGGTCATCCAGAAGATTGCCAAAATCGGTGCCGCTTATGGTGTCAAGAAGCTGCTGGTCGGCCAGAATGGCATCCTCTCCACCCCCGCTGCCAGCAACCTCATCCGCAAGCGCAAGGCCACCGGTGGTATCCTCCTGACGGCCAGTCACAACCCTGGTGGTACGTAATCTCGCGTTCAGATTCACCGACCCCACGCTGACATTATTCTGTTACTCAGGCCCTGAGAACGACTTCGGTATCAAGTACAACCTTGCCAATGGCGCTCCTGCCCCCGAATCCGTCACCAACAAGATCTTCGAAACCTCCAAGTCCCTCACCTCCTACAAGTACATTGACATCCCCGATGTTGACACCACCACCATCGGCTCCAAGACCTACGGCCCCATCGAGGTTGAGGTCGTCCACTCCACCACCGACTACGTCACCATGATGAAGGAGATCTTCGACTTCGACCTCATCCGCGACTTCCTCAAGACTCACAAGGACTTCAAGGTGCTGTTCGATGGTATGCACGGTGTTACTGGCCCCTACGGTGTTGACATCTTCGTCAACGAGCTGGGTCTGCCCGCTAGCAGCACCATGAACTGCGAGCCCAAGCCCGACTTCGGCGGTGGCCACCCCGACCCCAACCTGGTTTACGCCCACGAGCTCGTTGAGAGCGTTGACAAGAATGGCATCCACTTCGGTGCTGCCAGTGATGGTGACGGTGACCGTAACATGATCTACGGCGCCAACACCTTCGTCTCCCCCGGTGACAGTCTGGCTATCATTGCCCACCACGCCAAGCTCATCCCCTACTTCCAGAAGCAGGGCGTCTACGGCCTGGCGCGCTCCATGCCCACCTCCGGTGCTGTCGACCGCGTGGCCAAGGCCCAGGGCCTGCAGAGCTACGAGGTCCCCACGGGCTGGAAGTTCTTCTGCAACTTGTTCGACAACCAGAAGATCTCCATCTGTGGTGAGGAGAGTTTCGGTACTGGCAGCAACCACATCCGTGAGAAGGACGGCCTGTGGGCCATTGTGGCCTGGCTGAACGTCATCGCTGGCGTTGCCAAGCAGAAGCCCAGCGAGACCCCCAGCATCGCTTCCATCCAGAACGAGTTCTGGCAGACCTACGGCCGTACCTTCTTCACCCGGTACGACTACGAGAACGTCGACAGCGACGGCGCCAACAAGGTGATCGCCACGCTGTCGGAGAAGGTCGACAACAAGGACACCTTCGTTGGCTCGACCGTGTCCGGCCGCAAGGTCGTCGACGTCGGCAACTTCGCCTACACCGACCTGGACGGCAGCGTGACCAAGAACCAGGGTCTGTACGTCAAGTTCGATGACGGCAGCCGCATCGTCGTCCGTCTGTCTGGCACTGGCAGCAGCGGCGCCACGATCCGTCTGTACATCGAGAAGTACGAGAACGACGCCAGCAAGCTCGGTCTCGCCACGGATGAGTACCTGAAGGACAACGTGGCTCTGGCTCTGGAGCTGCTCAAGTTCAAGGAGTACATTGGCCGTGAGGAGCCTGATGTCCGCACCTAAGCAGATAGCATTATGTTAATAGCGGTTTTTTGAGTAGCTTAATTAGGATAATCAGTATATTTCTCTTCACATAAACCTGTCTTATCCTATCCTCCATCCTTAGACAATCAACCATTATATATGAACCTGTCCATGAACCCAACTCCGTAATAACATAACGAAATCATACTCTCATAACGTCATACTAGATTCCATGATCCAACCAACCCACCTGACAGACTACTACTTACTTACCCCTTTGACCTTCTTCCCCCACCACTCCCCCCACTTAACAACCACCTCCTCCCTCCTTGCCTCCTCCGCCGCAAACACCACCGCATGACTCCTAACCGCCTCCTCCAGATCACACCCAACGAACCTCCTCTGTGCCTCCGCCACCCCCCACCCCTTGTTGACCACCGCATCGACAGCATCGACGAAGCTCCTCGCAAGCCCATAATCCCCTCCGCCATGCGCCTTCTCCTCCTCTGCCGGCCTTTTCGGCACCGTGATCGTCGTAGTCTCCCTTGTCTGGAACGAGTAGATAGTGATTGTGCGGCTATCGTAGCTAATCTCGCCGAGCGTGCCGTACACGCGGCCGCGTCGCTCGCATTGCTTCTCGGTCGGTGCGATCATGTGGAAAAGAGCGGTTTTGGGTGGGTCCGACGAGAAGGTTATCGTTACGGTTTGATCGTCGCAGACGTTGTTGTCGGATTCGTAGACACAGCGGCCGTACCACGGGCGGGAGTGGATGGATTCCTTTTCATCGGTAGTGTTGCTGGAGGTTTGGTAGTCTTCGCGGAGGCGGGTAAGGAGGTGGGATTGAGCCAGGGGGATGTGCTCGGTGGGGATGGGGTCGGATTTGTTGATTCTAGGGGTGGTTGTTTTAGGGAGGATATCTTCGATGTCTTCGCAGACGATGTTCACGGGCCAGTCTATGTCGCCTTTTGCGACGTGCATGTCATTGTAGATTCGGACGGCGCTGTAGATGCAATCTCGTTCTGCGGGACAGGATAGACAGTTTGTTGCGGTGCCTGCGGCGGGAGGCTTTTGGGATTTGCGAAACTGGGTTAGGGAGCCGGTGGAGGTGATGGTTCGGGGATGGATGGGTTGTTGCGAGGTTGGATCTGAGGAGGGAGGAGGACTGGAGAGTAACCACATGATGAAGTCGATGTCGTGGCAGGATTTAGTTAGCAGGGAGCCGTCCCCGTTGGGGGTTTCTCGACGCCAGTTGCCGCGCACATAGCTGTGCGAAAAGTGCCAGAAGCCGACGGGTTCGGTGTGCTCGAGGGAGACGATGTCGCCGATGACGCGGTCGAGAAGGAGGAGTTTGCGGAGGAGAATGTTGTGCGGGCTGTAGCGGAGGACATGGCCGATGGAGAAGATGTTGGTAGAGAGGTTGGGGGTGAGGGCGTGATAGACGGACAGACAGTCCTCTAGGGATAGGGCGAGAGGCTTCTCGCAGAGGATGTGGAGTTGGAGAGGGGCGATGGCGTGGAGGATCTCGACGTGGGTGGAGTCAAGGGTGCAGATGAAGACCCCGTCGACACCGACTTGGGAGTCATTCTTGGTTTCTCGGCGCTGCTGCTCCCATTGTAGCCAGGCGCGCCAGTCGGGGAATTCCTGACCGTCTTGGGGAGTGCCGTGTTCGCCCCAGATGTAGGAGCGGCCGAGGTGTCGGCGCTTGAAGGGGTGGGGTTCGGCGACGGCGTGGATGGTGCCTTGAGTAGCGGTGGCTACAGCACGAGCGTAGGCGGTCCCACGAGATCCGGCACCTATTACGAGGAAGCGGAGAGGACGGGGAAAGGCCGGTGGAGGGGGAGAGGAAGCTGGAATGACAGGTTCTTTCATGATGAGTTGGGGAAATGGAAGTGGAAGTAGGAGAGGGGCAATGAGGGGAGAATGAGGGGATATAGTATTGGACCTAAATACAAATGCAAGGGATCGCCGGGTGCGGATGATAAAGCCGCATCGCTGGTTGGTTGGTGGCATCTTATGTCATCGGCTGATAACAGCAAGCCTCACATGTAACTATGGGTCAGGACACAGTTGCAATGAAAGGTAGGGTTCTAATTCAGACTGGACAGTAGACATTATTCAATTGTAATTATCAGTAGATGAGCGCAAGTCTCTCACAAACGACACAAACATGCAAAGAAAATGAATTGGGGTATCCATAAGAAACAGGCTAGCAAGTAGTACAGAATCCAGACATGATCACCATCGCCAGTCCGGGAACACCACCCGGAAACCCTATGTATAACTCCTCCACGTATGTACAGAGCACCAGTATATACTTTCACCTCCCTGGGCAACGTTTCATATACTCTCCGTGAACCGACTGCCCCGACTGCCATCGAAGCTCGGATGGCTTCGTCCGAGCGCATCAGGCCGCTTCGGCATTGTCGGAGAGAGCGCCCCGACTTGCGAAACGACCCGCGGCCCGGTTGGCTCATTGGACAGACTGGCATTGGCGGACCCAGTAACTGGTGTGCGGGCTGGCGATGGTCGAAACACCACAACACCTCCTACCTCCGCCGCTTCTCGAGTATAGCTGGTATCCAACGGCATGCCATACGGTGTCGCTACGGGCGGTTGTGTTGGCGGTGACCGGGGCTGAACTGGTGAGCTTGGAGAAAAAAGCGTGCTCGGCTCAGACGCAGTAGGGGATCCCGGTTCATATCCACCGCCGTAGCCGTCTCCTCCTGACTGCAGCACTGAAGGAATCTTCCGGCCGGAGATCTTTTGGAATCCGCGTTCGCTGGGCTCGGAGCTCAGAGTACTGTCGGTGCGTGTCGTCATGTGCGACTGGCGCCATCGCTTCATGAAAGCCGGGGCAAAGTATGACGCAGTAAACAGGGGGTCGTCGCTGGACCGCCGCGATGTCATCTCTGCGGAGCGCGGGAGAGAGCCTTCGGCTGTCCCGGTCGTGTCCGGCTCGGGGAGGGCATCCCCAGATGGCGGCAAGATGTTCTTCTTGCGTCGGCGAAGCAGCCAGACAACAATTACGAACACGAACATAGCAGCAGCCACACCACCAACCACACCACCAGCTATCTTGCCTTTAGTTTGGCTGCTGAGGGAGCCAGAGCCAGAGCCAGAGCCGGAGCCGGAGCCAGAGCCAGAGCTGCCCGAAGAGGATGAAGGCGAGACACCTTGTCCGGTGGCAGTTGCCCCTGATCCTCCACTCCCTCCATTAGAGGCCGTACCCCAGGCTCCGTAGAGCGAAGTGGTGGAAGTAGAGTCCGATGAGAAGGTGGATGTCGTCGCGGAGCTCGTCTGGGTCACGGAGGATGTCGTCGTGGACTGTGAACCGGAGCCGAATGCCCAAGCAGAGCCGGAGGCGGTCACTTGGCTACCGCTTTGTGTCCCAGTTGGACTAGAGCTGGACAATGCGCTGGATGGTTGGGGGTGAGCCGAAGAGGGAATAGCGGTAGCAGTAGAGCCAAACAGCGGAGTGGATGTCTTCGAAGTAGCGGGCGCAGATGATGGTGGGGTGGATGAGGACGGTTCAGGCGTACTCGTTACTGCCGGGGTGTCTGCGGTTGGAGAAGAATACGCAGGCGAAGCAGTCAGAGGTAGATCAATCGAGACGGTAGCAGAAAGCGACAAGAGAAATGAGTCTGTATCTGTTGACGAGATCGACGTCGCGGGCACGGTCGACTCTTCAGATATCGTTGTCGGTGCAGTTGCCGAAGTGCCGGTGCTAGTCTGCGAATTGTTGTCGACCACGTTGACGATAGTCGCAGACACCGTAGCCTGATCCCCCGTGGCTGTGTTTGATTGCTGGCGCTTTTCGAGGGACAGTCCCTGACTGTCATGCACATCCTGCGCCTGCATGACTGGGTCTAGGGTTAGTTCACCTTCCAGCCCATTTGCGACCGTATTCTGCGGTATGATTGTCGGAGTCGCATGGTTCCCCGGGCTCTTCCCAGTCTCGCTAAAGTATGCTGAATCCAATTGATATTTCTTGCGCATCACTCTGTTGAAGCGAGCATGTCCTGTGCCATGATGGGCCATCCTGATAACATCCACGTCGGGCCGAAATTTACTGAGTATGTGCTGAAGTGCGGCGATTGCTGACCGCAGCTTCGCAATATCGAAAGAATGATATGAGAGAAGTTATCTCGAAATGAAAGCGAATGAATGTGAAGTGAAGGGAAGGTGTCTGCCTGCACGACACAAATTCTGACGGCAAAGGAGCGCGGTGATTAGGTCGATCGAATGCGACTGTAGTGAAAGCGAACTCAAGGAGCGTAAAGAAAGAGACGACGGTCAACTTTTGAGTGACGGTAAAAGAAAGGCGGCAAAGGCGAATAAGTAAATCAATTGTCGAAAGAGCGACTGCGGTGAAGTTGAGCGGATGAGAGCTTCCACGTCTATTAGAAGCCTCGGAATTGTAGCGAATACCAATGAGCGGACGTCAGCTGGGATATACAGCCGACAAATATCGAATAATTAGAAGAGTGAGAAAGACCGAAAGGCATCAACAGAGATCTGTTCGCCAGGGCAAAGCACCCGTTAGTATCGGAGCAACATCATTCTACTATCCAGCATTCAAACCCGCAGGATCGCAAGTGAAATTACATACCTGCAAAAAGAAAGGACAGGAAAGGAAGAAAACAAAGCGACTATTTTTCTTTTCTTTTCTTTTAACCGAACTATCCGAATCCGAGCTTCGCAGGTGGTTATATCTCAAGCGCTCCACGATTCCTAATCCATAATTGCCGCACAAGCAAGCGTACTGAGTGAAACGTGCACGTCGGTCGAAGAAATTAATATCACCACCCTTTCCCTTTCCCTCAGGGCCCGTCAGGTACGAGGTGGTGATTACTGGAAGGATGTGTATGCCGTTTCCACAATTGACCCTCCAACCGGGAGAAGGATCCACGTCTAGACCAAGGTTCCGGCCTCGGGATTGCTACCGCTCTTGCCTCGTCTTCTTGGTTCACCCAAGAAATGTTGGCGTGGTTCGATTGGGTCCTTTACGGCATCAATTCTCTCCGAACGGGATTTACCGCCTGCTCACAAGTTGGCGGGTGCTGAGATGAGTGAAGTGCGTCGGCGGGCGATTTCCCGTCGATGAGATCCCGTCTGCTGCCTGCTTGCTACCTCCGGGGGGACTTTGGGGAGAACAGAAAAGGGGAGGAGGGGAAAAGAAGGTGGGAAGAAGGCAAAGAGGGGAGGAGGAGGGATGAGAGGGGGAAAAGGTGAAAGGTTAGGGTAAAGAAGACGGTGATCGAAAGCGATGAGAAGAGGAGGAGGAGGGGGGGGGAGAGAGTAGCAAAGTCAAGGGAAGAGAAAGACAGAATGGAAAGGGAAGGGAAGCGAGCGAAAGAGCGACGGGGTCGAGACAAGCTAGACTAGTTAGTCGTTAGGCAGTCCGTCAGTCCGTCAGTCAGGACTAGTAGTAAATGACCCGCGAGGGAAAGCATCGATCAGGCCAGGCCTAAGAATAACAACCGTCTGGTCTTAGACCTGCAGCGTCACTAAGGCACGGTGGGTGCGGTTACCGACCCATCCCGGTTATGGGCTCAGTACCACTCCAATACGGCCGAGGACACCAGAACGCGCGCTCTCTAGCCAGATATGTTTTTTCTCACTCAATTTGGTATCACGTAAGTAAGAAGAGACAATATCAATAGTGAGATCATTCCTTCTGCTGGCGGCAAAACGGGAATTATACCCGACCGCAAAAATGTCATGATTTGGCTTGCCGAGCTGCAGCTCCCATGTACCCCATCCGGAGAGAGTGGGCAGCAGCAGCAGCGCTCATCCTTGTCGTTGGTACGTGATAGTCCATCCCTACCTACATATACATATGTCTGGGAGTCCGTGGAATGGAACAATTGCTTTTTCACTGGTTTGCGCAGCCAGCTCGCTTGGGGATCCGTCGATACACACGAAATCTCGTACGGCAGATACAGTACGATAGACTCGACCCGATTTGGGGAAATCATCGATTGCTCTTCGTCATTGGTCCGGGGCGCTGTCCGAAAGGGGGGAAGCCAAGCCTGAGTTTAATAAAACGCCGGGCGCTAAGTTTCATTAGATGTTTGTTTACGCCGGACACACAATCTAACTAGACCACGCCTGTTAATTAGAGACCCGGCTGCAATATCATCCAGGTGCCTATCATATCGCATCATCCACGGTTCTGTCCCGTGTCAAGTGCCGTCTGACCAGGACCATCTTCAGCAGGTAGACTACCCAACTTGGTGGTCTAGTTTTTCAAACCGAGCAGTCCTGCGTCCAAGTTTGGCCTCGCAGACAGACAGGGGGCCAACAACCAAATCTATCGTTAGTCCACATAGCAATCCTGTCCGTTGCTGATGCTGCATGCGCTAGCAGGGAGCAAACAAGACATCACCAATACCACTTCACAGACCAGGGACATACAGACAGCAGGTAGATAAGGCAGGATTTCGACCCCATGAAGCCACCACAACAACAAGACAATATCCACACATACACACGGGATCCATCATCTAATCGAGGATACGACTCATTTATCCACTTCACAAAAGAAAAAGTCCATCAAGAGTCTAGACACGGACACCCACAACGTCCCGAAGTTCTTCCTAGGTCCCACGCAATGATGCAAGGGACTCACCTCCCTAACGACTCTCTAAGGCATTAGCCGCTGCGATGTCACCACTCACCACTCACTCTGCAAGGTACGCCCCATCTGAATCACCCTCATCCACAACCGACAATGGATCGTCGCTATCGAGATGAACAGGAACTAGTCGAGTCATGCAAGAGGATGCACTCCATAAGCTCACTCAGTTAGCTAGTATCAGATCCCAGACGTAGATACCTGAGTCAGCTTATGATCTCTCCCCAAGACCAAAGAAGCAAACAAAAAGGAAAAAGGAGAATATTGGTAACTAGGCAGACAAACAGATTTGGTTGCGGTTTCGATACACGTATACGTACGTATGTCTCTTTTCCGTGTCTCAGAGGCCCACCCCACTCTTAGAACCCGCTATTTATATCGTAGCCCGGCCGGCTCCTGTCATGTCCATCTCCCGTCCGGCCATCGAGAACAATCGTGGAAACTTCGAGGAATGTTCATCATTGCCACTGGAAGATCTCGGGGAGTAAGTGCTTTCGAAAATTATCAGGTGACATGTAGGGTATGATTTGCATTCCTTACTACTATATGCAAACTCATTATTTTTTAGTATAGTAGCAAAGTGATCGACATTCTAGTCATGCAAGATCCTAGCATATATCTACATCAAAACACATCAATTAGAGACAATATGACCCTGAATACATTCCTCAAACATCCACAGTCACCGACAAATATCATGTTTAAAAACTCCGAATGGTCACCGATTGCTCTCCCTAAGAGCCATTCCTAAGCATTACCCCACTATATACCATCATAATTGATGTTATCGTCACGTCGTTGTAGCTGAAACAATAAACATTAACATGCACAAGCCTCTACCGACATCTAAAATGAGTAGCAAGAGAGCCCCTCACTAAGCTCACATACTTCCACATGACTCAGGCAGAGTAAGTTGCTACTCATTCAGCCACTTACCATCCCTCTCAACTCAGATTCCCTTGTCTCCAGTTCCCCGTAAGATCATTAAACATCTAACATACTCATCTATCACCTGGCAGATAGCGTAGATGACAAGTGTGGTAAGAAGAATAACTATAAATTTGCATTGGGCAGTACTCAGCCCCCAACTTCAGTTTCTCTCTCTAAATCCAACACCCCACAAACACACACATACATACGATGACAAACTTATAATTCTAATGCTAGCAGATCATGCTGTATCATATTGAAACACTGTGGGCGTGTCTCACTAATAGTACTTACTATCATGCCGTGTCGGGCCCTCATGTATATTAAACAGTGAATATCAACAAGACCCAGGCCAATTCAAATGAACGGCTGCCATATTAGTAGTCGTGCGAGATCATCTTGCTATTGATTCTGATTCACTCGTGTGAAGATATTGAAAGTTGGATGGCAGTAGCCAGAATCGTGTGATGAAAGCTGTTGTTGGTAGATTAATTCGTGATGAGACCAGTGTAGGATCGTTTGGACCTATGTTAGACCGACAAAGAGCAATGACACACATATTCCACCATACAAGAGCGGCTTATCGAGTAGTATGCTCCGAATCAAGAAACCATTTATTGATTGCCCATTTACTGCGCAAGGATTAGTTTGCCGATGGGGACGGCGCATGGCAAATGTCGACGCACTTAATTCCTTCCACCTTTTGAAATGCCTTTCTATCAGTACCAATGCAGGCTAAAGAAGAGAGAGGAAGAAAGAACATGGGAATGGAACATGCTTCCAACTACCTGTCGAGACAGAGAGGAAAGAAAAAGACTGTCACAACTATACAAAGGGTCTGCATCTCGCCAGCCACTCTCCTTGCTATTTTCACTCCTCAACCCCTCACCCTACTCGCATGTCTGACCAACGGTCTAAACGGAAGGAAAACTAGTTAAAGACATAGAGACGCCGTAAGACGACTGACGAACGCTTGTGCTACACATGAAGGGGTATTAATAATGGGACGAACATTATTAGGTATGAACTTAGAAGGTCTCAAGTTCATCCGCCCCAGCCTCCGCTTCGGGAATCTCGAATCCCTCCTGCAACACATGTTAACCACGGATTCGGGAATGAGAAGCCTCCTTGACATGCAACAAAAGAGGTCCGGCTAGTGTGGAATCATACCTCCGTCGAGTACAGAATGCCCTGGATGTGCTTCACCAGCGAGTCGTCATCCTTCTCAAGCTCCGGATCGGCCTCGATGGCGCTCTGCAAAAGCAATTCGATGTCACGCAGCTTGGCAAAGTAGAAGTCCCTCTCCTTCTCCAAGCCAGCAATAGCCTCCTTTTGCGTAGCAATCTCCTGCTGCAGCGCAGATACGTTGGCAGCGCTTGCGGCACCAGCGACACGGGGGCGGGCGGCGCCAATAGTAGGCGTAGTACCACGGCGCGCCGCACCGGCGGAGCTTGCACCTGCGCGAGAGCCACCCGCAGCGGCCGGGGGGCCACCAGAGGCCTTGCGACGAGCGACCGCATCGTAGTCACCACCCGGGTAGTGTTGGTCCCAGTACTTCTTCGTCCACTGAAGGAACTCAAGGTTGTCCTGCATACGGCATTTCGTGAGAGATTCGACCGGAATCGGCTTGTCCACCTGGTGTTTGGCAAAGACGTCTAAACAGTCCTGTGTTAACGGAAACAGCGTTCCCAAACCACAGTTCGTTCGGAAGAGGCGTACTCTGAAGAACCTTGAAGTTCTGAAGGTAGGCGTATTCGGTGTTGACGTTGAACTTGACGCGAGACATCGGGACATCCACTAGAAGGCAACTAGTAAGCCACATGTCCAGGCGGGGGTGGAAAAAAGGGGTGAGCTCATCACGCCAACTCACTGAATATCGAATCGAAGATCTGGCACAGAGCGGCACTGTACAATCACTCCGTCAGCCTATGGGCCTAAGACATGCCTAATTGTTTGTTGAAAGCGCTACTAAGGCGTCTGTTGCAAGCGACTTTCCACGTCGGTCAGGGAGGTTCCTACCCAGTTCCGCACTGCTCAACCTTGGTCATGTTCAACTGCAGCAGGTTGTTGATCCATGCCAACAACTCTTGTCTGTTATCCTGGATTGTTAGCCATGGGTGCAAAGGAATAACAAGCCGTCCCAGAACAGAGGCAGATGCCCGACGAACCTGGATTCCGACATAGTGGGGTAAGTAGTTGTAAGGGAAGGCTGAATGCCGGGCTAGAAGGAATGCAGGGTTTGGCAGGGGGTTGCAAATATTGGAGGGGAGTTGAAATAAGAATTAGTAACAAAGGGAAACACCCTGTAGCGCTGGATCTCTCTTGTTAATATCGAAGAAAAACAAAGGCCAAGTTGAGCAGATGGGGATGTTTTGTTGCTGTCGACAAAACCCACGGGACTGCACACGCTAATCCGCTTTTGGAAAATCACAAACGGTAGGTACCTAGCCTCCCCGATCTACGGATGCCTCAGGCTAGAATTCGGAACCATTGCACCAGACGGAAGTCGAACTCTTACAGGCAAAATCAGCCTATTTTGTGCTACTCCTAGACTAGATAGGAAATTCCGAGCAAATAAATTAATTGAGCAAATGTATAAGCATCTATCGCTAGCCAATGTATGTCCCTGCTAATAAACCCAAGAAGCGAACCCGAATATCCCAGAAAACTCCAAAACCGAGACTTTTTCCCAGCAAATAAGCGAAACGCAAATGTCTAGCCAGATATATTACTCTTTCAGCAAGTCTATGCCATCTAGTCCGTATCCAAAATCCATTATGACAGCGCGAGAGTCTTGGCTGGTAGCCACAATGCGCCGATAATCGGACTTGACGCTGAGCATCCAGCTCGTTGTCCAGCCCGGAAGGTCAATGGATAGCTCGCCACTTTGAGCATCGAATACTTTGACACTCATGTCATAACTACCACTGACGATTCTTTGATTCATACTGTCGAGGTGCAAGGAGCGAACCAAGCCCGCGTGGCCCTTGAGCTCATTGACCATGTCGCCAGTATTGGCGTCAAACTGATAGATCACTTGATCGTTGCCGCCAGTGAGAATGGTTCGAGCATCATCGCTGAATTCGACACATGCCAGCCCACGGTCCTTGCTGGGAAACTCCTTCACACAAAGGCCAGAAGTGATGTTCCAGAGCTTGGCGACACCGTCCCCGCTTGCAGAAACGACAAGATCTCCCCGCAGCTGAACAGCGTTCACTGGACCTCTGTGGCCAAGGAGTTTCTTCACCAAGGCCCCTGTGTGCCGATCCCACACACAGATTGTAGTGTCTTTGGAGCAGGACACAATGTAACGGTCATCAAAGCAGACATCCAGCACTCCTGCCTGATGGCCCACAAGGCGACGAATCGGCTTGTAGTCGTTCTTGATATCCCACACAATGCAGGTAAAATCAGACGAACCGGTGACCATGATTTCTTCGTCAAACTGGAGGCAGAGAATGGAAGCACTGTGATAGTCTGCGCTGTGCTCAATGGGAGCCATGATCCCCGCAGAGCGCGTCGGCGGGGGGCAGATGGTCAAGAAGGGCGGCTTTCCGGCTGATTGTTGCGCCGGGTTATTGACCGGACCAATACCGGATACATCGCCCGGGGGAGGGCCAATGATCTTTCGGCATGGCCAAGGGTAATGAGCGTCCCATACACGAATGGTTCGATCGCGAGAGCCAGTGATGATTTTGTCCCTGGGGAATGATTAGAAAAAGCTTATATGCATATGTTTACCAACGAGTAACTTACTCATCAAATTGCGCACAGTAGACACTGTCCTTGTGGCCATGAAGGTAGATAGCAGCAGCCTTTCCTTCCTTCCACCGATGTTCCAAAGCACGGCGAACCAGGAACATCCGCTTCCAATCCTGCTTGGGATGAGTCTTACCCAAACCAGCAGATTGTCTCTTCTTGAAAGGGAGCCCGCTAGGGTGTTGTCCGTAAGTATGGCGGAACACGTGCCGCCAGATGTGCCGGGAGGATGCCTGCTCACTCCAAGCACGAGAAACCAGCTCAGACTGCATAAGGGACTCGGGATCGAGGTAGGAGAACACTTGTGACATGACCTCAGGAGGAAGGCAGCCAACAGGATCAATCCGTACTATAGCCAGGGCTGGGTCAGATAGCTCTGAGCGATCGCGTAGATCGATTCCAATGCCACTTTCCGAGTCTTGAGTCAATCTCGCATCCGAGAGCTTGATACTGTCCCGCAGAGCTCTTGCCAGCTCATTCTGAGCTGCAGCTGCAGCGCGAGCTGCCGCTCCCGCATAAATGTCATTCGAGAAAACAGGTGGCTCCAGGCCATTTCCAGGAACAGGGGCGCCAGCATGGGCGTAGAAACCGTGCAGCGCGGAGATGCTTTCCAGGGATGGTCGACGATTAATGCTAGTTTCATTGCACCAGGAATTTCTCATGGTTTCTGGTTGAGGATGAACAGAATGCCTGGACGACTTGTTGCGGAGCGTCACCGAGAGGCGACGACCCAGAGCTCGCAGACCGTCCACGGGATGGCGTAAGCTAGAGAAGCTCTTGGCTTCACGGCACCTAGGGACAGGCTCTGGAAAATGGTTCATATCCTCCACGACCTGGCCGTCATCATCATCTCCCGAATCCACCACAGACAGCCCGTGCCACACGTCATGTTCCAATCCGGTTGTATGAGCGGTTGAGGTCGTAGCAGTTCGAGGCCGAGTGCGGAGGGAGAAAGAGGGGCGTCGACGGGACGTAATAGTGCTAGAATCTCGTGGAGCCATGACGGCGATCGATGTCACAGTGACAATCTCAATTAAGGCCAGCCACGCGGGGGACACTTAGGACAGAGCGTTCTCGGTAGATTGTTATAGTATAGGAATCGAGTTAATTCCCTTAGCGCGGCTGAGACACACCCTCAGGGGTCAGACGCAAGGGTAACGCTGCTGGTCAAGGAAGAAATATGTGATGCGTCAATAGGGGATATAAGGCGGTATCGAGAGGCTGAATGGCGTAGGTAAGGGGAAAAATCGACAGGCTAGCAGCTCGAGTGACCAAGGAAAAGACCGATGTGATCAACAAGAACTCCTGATAACGAACACCAACCGCCCGGGCGAGTCTGATAGATAAATCGAGAATAGTTAACCAAAAAACAAAAGAGTGCAAGAGGGGTGCGAGAGAAGGATGGGTGCGAGCAACGAAAAGAGAGAAGAGTAGAAAGGAAAGAAAGTGTCAGAGAATCGAGTGTAGAAGAAACAACCCAGAAGAATTAAACCCCAAGACCTAGCGACTGCATGAAAAAGAAAAAACAACACTACTGCCAACAAATCTTAATTAAAAGCTGGAGGCATGGGATCGGGCGAGAGAAAAGGGAGGCCCGCCGCCCGGGCGGTGAGCCTCTTTTGCCCCCCAGCCCGATCAGCCCCGACCCAGTCCAGACCCTTGATTGGCTCTCCCAGGCTGACTGGTGGCGGGCTTCAATTTCTGCTAAGTTTTAAACCATTAAAAGAAGTGTGCCGCGGATATTTTTCCTTTGTGATGGCCATTGTTCGCCCCTGTCAATTAGGGCATCCGTAAGGCTCACATGGCTCGGATGGCAGAATAGGATTGGACTTGATTTTAGGGGGTCTGGCATTCAGGTGGATGCCTGATGAAAAGATGTTTGGTCTCCTACATACCATACACGTCTCAGCGAAGAAGTTCTGTTCAGGCATTAACAGGTATCTTCTCTGTAGCGGATGGGGAGGAGTCACTCCTACATCAGGGTATCAATGCTTGTAGGAGATGTCCAAGGTCTAATTCTATATTTACCCATTCTCCGTCTGTGCATGCCGAGAACCAAGACGAACCCCTTTGTCTTGTTGTCTCGGCTCAGGGATCGACTCCATCCCATCTCCATCTCCTTCCCGCCCCCGTGGGGTTGCCAATCCTTCACGGTCTGGCCCACTTTGTCAGTGCCAGTTGGCCAGGCAGGAATCCGCTGTCAACCACAATGCAATTATGCCTTGTGTGATCGGCCGTTGCGGAGTAGGCACATTGGAAGTTCTAATACTCTGTTGTGATTGAAACTTGTCTGAGTGATGCACTCACTGAGTTAGTGCTTAGTCGTAGCGTATGTCTGTGCGACTTTCCGGGCCACAGCCTCAATCACTGCCGCCTGAACAAAGAGAATCTTATAACCGGGGATAATGAACCCCTTCGAACAGGGCTATTCGACCATGTTCAAAGCCCCTTTGTCAATACTCAAGGCCAAGGGGTCAGCACAGCTGCAGCATTAAGCTTTGAGGAACAGTTGTCGCAAACCTGCATGTTCACCGCAACAGATGGACCAGAATCATAAACGGTCATACAGCCATACATAACAAAGTAATTACATACAAGCTTCTCTAAGGTATCTACTTCAGCTCCCACTTTCCATCCTCGGTCACGATCTCCACCGACCGCTTCTCATCCAAGGAAATGCGTCCTGCATGCAGGATTGCCGTCGTGGCAATAGTGTTCTTCAGCGTCGGGATCGGCCTGGCATCCAGCTGATCGAGCGTCAACCGCCCCTCATTAACAGCCGTAACGGCATCAATGAACTTCTCGAAACTGATGTATCCGTAGCCCGTCTGACCACCGAAGTTACCCTCCTCGTCTGGTGCGTACTTCATATAGAACCTGCGCAACTATTAGTAAGCGTGAAATCCAAGCCAACGCCGAGGGAATTAGAAACGTACGGGTTAATCCAAGACAATCCAGCCTCATCCTCGGCAACATCATAGCCACGCTTCGCCTGATTGACACGGATTTCACCCTTCGAGCCCATATCTGCACTTGTTAGCATCATTCACTCTATGAGCCAACAACATCGACCCCGAGAAGCGACCTACAATGGAAGTACTGGTTAGAGTGTACACCGGCCCTCTGTGGTGCGGTCCAACTAGATGTGTAAACACCCGTAGCCATTCTTGATCCATCCTTCTTCTTCCATTCCACAAGTAGAGTAATCGTGTCCTCCGTCTCATGGGCACAGCCCAGCTCGACAGCAGTTCCCGTCGCTGCACTAGCCGTCACCTTCACGGGGACATAGTCCGGCACCATGCTCTCATTAACATCCACGTGGTGGCTGTTCAAATAATAAGAGATATCCGAGTCCTTACCAGCCCAGGCCTTGAACGTCTCCAGCTGGCTCTTGGGCTGACTCATGTAGCTGTAAAAGTAGTTGAAGTCACCAAGCTTGGCAGCCTTAGCGCGGGCGTCACTGTAGGCCGGGTCGAAGCGCTTGTGGTGTTCAATGTACACAACTACATTGTGCTTGCGAGACTCAGCGAGCAAATCGAGGTGGTCAGAGAGGAGCTTGGTCGCGGGCTTAGTGATGAGAACGTGGATCTTGCGCTGAATGGCGTACAGAGCGATAGGGTAATGGGTGGGGTCGGGTGTGAAAATGGTGATTGCAGAGCCGGCGGGAAGGGCGTCAATGGCAGCTTTGTAGGCTTCTGGGTCGGAGGTGTTGTCGGCGGGAAAGGAGGTGAAGGAGACATCAAGGCCGTTGTAGACTTCGGAGATATTCTTCTGCAAGTGTGCGCCTTGGTTTCTCTCGGTCAGTTTTGGCGAATTGCTGAGTACGAAGGGAAACGAGGGTGTGGCTTACGGATTCCAGGGAATTTGGATCCAGATACGCCCACCATGCTCAAATCGCCAACTTTGCCGCGACGACGCAAGTCGAAGAGCGTTAGGCCCACGACACCCACTTTCTTGTCGGAGGTCGAGGCTGTACCACCGACGTAGCCGGTCGTGTACTCGCCTGTTCCTACCTGGTTTGCTGGTTAGTGGGGAATATGCGATGAACGGAAGGGAGGACGTACCATCAACACAGCTGGGGGAGCCATTGTGATTGCTGTGGTGTAAATTTAACTAAGAAAAGATATTAAGAGGGGAAGAATATGACAAGAAAGAAGGAAATAATCTGGTCGCTCAGTGGGTTGGCGGTCATATAAGAAATCCTGCTGGACCGGGTTTTGCGGGGTCATTAGCCGATGGCTGGTTGAGCTATAAAATGGTATGGGATTGCATCAATGGTGGAAGATATACAGGGCGCGATACAGTCCATTCGATGTCCATTGTGTCTAACAGTAACTTACAAGTTGCTTTGAATTGGTGCTACTATAATGCCCCTCAAAATTCGCTCTTCACATAGTTCACATGCAGCCCTGTTAGTACTTTTCTTACTGTATGACAGCTGCTGTCGGCGTTTGATACGGACAAAAGTGGCAAGTTTGCTGCAAGCTCATTCTGATTGGTGGATAAATTTGTCCGAAACGGTGGAGACGTGGGATGGTACCGAAACGGTACGGCAGGGCACGCGGGGTAAACATGAGGGGTGGTCTACTATATAAGTCCATCGAGTGATGCACAACGCCAACTACAGCTTCGCAACACACATATCCCATTAATTGAAAGTTATAGACACATATACTCTACAGATCAGTCAAGTACATCTACCACACCCCCTGAACCCAAGCCCAAAACTAACAGCAGATCAAAGAATGCCTTTTACCCCGCTCCGCCCCGGAGTCTACGCTCCAACCATGACTTTCTTCGACCCTTCGACCGAAGACCTTGACGTCCCTACCATTCGCAAGCACGCCGTTCGCCTCGCAAAAGCCGGTCTCGTCGGTCTCGTCTGCATGGGCTCCAACGGCGAAGCCGTACACCTCACCCGGGCAGAGCGCAAGACCGTGATCAACGAGACCCGCTCCGCACTCGTTGAAGCCGGCTTCTCCAACGTCCCCGTCATCGCAGGAGCCAGCGAACAATCCATTCGCGGCACCATCGAGCTCTGCAAGGAATCCTACGAAGCCGGAGCTGAATATGCCCTGATCGTTCCCCCCAGCTACTACCGCTACGCCACCGGCAACGACCAAACCCTCTATGAATTCTTCACCAGCGTCGCCGATGGTTCCCCCATCCCTCTCATCCTCTACAACTACCCCGGTGCCGTGGCAGGAATTGACATGGACTCCGACCTCATCATCCGCATCTCTCAGCACCCCAACATCGTAGGCACGAAGTTCACTTGCGCCAACACCGGCAAGTTGACCCGTGTTGCTTCCGCCCTGCACGCCATTACCCCTCCTTCGCCATTGGCTCCGGCGCAGCGCAAGTTCCCCAGCACAAAGACGGAGGCAAACCACCCATACGTTGCGTTCGGAGGTATTGCAGATTTCTCCCTGCAGACGCTGGCGTCCGGAGGTTCCGCGATCCTGGCGGGTGGCGCGAATGTCATCCCCAAGCTGTGTGTGCAGATCTTCAACCTCTGGAGCGCGGGTCGCTTCACGGAGGCTATGGAGGCTCAGGAGTTGTTGAGTAGGGCTGACTGGGTCCTCACTAAGGCGGCTATCCCCGGTACGAAGAGTGCAATTCAGAGCTACTATGGATATGGTGGATTCCCGCGTCGCCCGTTGGCTCGCTTGAGTGCCGAGCAGGCGGAGGCGGTGGCTGAGAAGATCAAGGATGCCATGGAGGTTGAGAAGTCGTTGCCGGATATTGCTTAGTCCATTGTATCATATAGATTATGACTTGTGAATAGAAGGGTTTCCGAGGCGTGTGTGTATCTGCAGTAGAACTGAAATCAGTGGGGTCGGCGTTCGGAGCGAAGTCCGACTTGGGCGGGTTGTTGATAGACCGAAGTATGGTAACCCCCACGCTACATTCCGGATAAAGACATGCTGGTTGGTGGACAAACCGCACCGATTCGAGCACGGATATTGGTTCTGAGAGCCCGGAGCACATCGGCGTGGATAAATCCTACGATTACTGCAACAATAGGACTGTAGAGCTCGCTTCGGCACGACACTACAGCCGCCCATCATCCTTGATTTTGGAAGAAGTCCAAAACATATTTCAATACATATTATCATTTACTGATCTTCGTAGATTGAGCAGCTACTTTAGAAACTGCACCTACACAATGCAAACAGAAGAAGCAGAACCCCCTATCTCGTAACATGAAGAACAGATCGGAATTCCAATCCCCCATTACACACCCTCTCTCCAACACCTACAGTAATTACTACTACACACCAGCCCACTCAACCCCAGATCTCTCCCTCACCTCCGCCGCCGACCTCCCCACCAACCCTTCCCAGAAATGGCACGTCCCAGCCGGCACCACCTCCTCCACTTCCAACGACAACAACGTATCAAACACCCAATCCTGACATCTCTTCCTCCCATCCCTCGGCGTAGGCGAAGCCGTGATAAACTCGATAGCCTGTTGCCGCTGCTGCTCACTGCCAAGAGTCGCAAGCTTGACTTTCCCGACCGCCTGCATCATGGTCTCCATGGTGCGCAACGGGGTGTTTATCCTCGCTTCAAACTGGTACCAGAGTTTGTCAAGGTCGATGACTTGGACGTGGAGAAGGTCGCCGGTTGGTGATGAGGGCCTAGCTATCAAAAAGCCCCAATGAGATCGGTGGTGAGGGTCTTCGCCTGGGCCGAAGATTTGGATGGATAGGTCGTAGGATGGTGGCGGTGATGACATGGTACTGCGGTGGGAGGGGAGGTAAGTATGAGGATGAAGGTTGGAAGACTACTCTCACTTGTTATTCGTAGAGGCTCAATGAGACGGGCTTTCCGTAACTTTTCTTCTTCTTTTTTTTTTTGTCTTGCTGCGCAAGTGATGATCTGTTTGTATGGCACTCCTTGCATGAACGAATATTCATACGTCTGACTTTTTCCTTTCACGTACAAGTCAGGGATATTGGAATGGCTGAACGCAAATACTAACGCTCTTCCAGTGCAAGTTGCCACTGGTCTTCCATAGAATCCTAACTAAACCTATTGTTGGAAATACCATGTCCCACTTGGTATACTGGTTCTACATGAGCTCAATAAACACCAGCCAGCTGACCAGATAGGTATTGGACGATAAGCATGCACCGTGAATTCCATCATCCACGTACGAGTGTGACAAATAGTTATTAAATGCGTTATACTCTCAGTGTAGCGCCATCACCCGAATTAGCTCTTATGATGAATGAAATTAGCCAACAAAGGGTGTTTTACTCCATGAAATCTTCGCCACGCTGCAATCAATAGAACGAATCAGAGATCAAAATCAAGCCCTATGCAACAATTTGCCCAAGCGCCTAATCGTGGTCTCATGAATATTCACCACCCACTCAGAATCAGAAAATTTGTGCAGTCAGTATGGTATAGCTTTATCTCCGCGGATTGTTCTTGACAATTCCGTCTGCACCCTTGTTAAACTTAACCCGACAATCCGGACAGTACCACTTCGCCGTGCGACTTGGTACCTCAGACAGCCCGACACAGTCAAGATGAAACCATTCTCGGTCGCACTACTCATGTTAGAGGCGCCATACAACGCAGAAATATAGAACACATACCTCTTGATTTTCACAGCAGATCATCGTCCCGAAACTCACGTCTCCACATAGACAATACCGTGGTTCGTTCGGGTCGATCTCTTCCAGTACTCCATCCTCGTCGATTCGAATGTCCTCACGTGCCAGGGTTCCATCTTTCAGGCCAACCTCACGCGTCCCAATCCGCTTCTTCCCGGGCTTCGCTTTGCGGCGACCGTAGCTTACCGCTGCACCACCGTCTTGGCCTGAAGATACAGGACCTGGAGCGGGGCGTTTACGCCTGCGGTTGGGAGCACTCACACTGGCAGCTCGAGCGGTTTCTGGCACAGGAGTCTTCCGAGCAGGTGTGGCGCTTTTCTGACGGAGCTCGCGTTTAGTAGAAGGTGCAACGACGCTGGCATTGGTGGTTGGCTCTAATGATAGAGCAGCCGAGCGGCGAGAGGGGGGGCGGGTAACCGGGGGGGTTGGCGTCGCCGCTTTTACGGCTGAGATCGTAGGTTGTGCGATAGCGCGCTTGGATCCAGTTGGAGACGACGGTAAGGAAGGCTTCTGCGACTCGGAGGTTTCTACAGCTGTAGGAGCTGGTGCTGCTTTTGTAGATAATTCAGGATTGGCGATGTTTGGATCAACGGGTGTGGGGGATCCTTTGCTAGTTCGGCGGCGTTTAGTCGCGCTTCGCAGCGAAGGACGGGTTTCAATTTCCACAGGCGCGGTAGGAGCAGCGGAGACAGCGGGGGCAGTAGGAACAGGGGAAGCAGCGGAGGTGGCAGTAGTAGGAACAGAGGGTGCAGAAGGAGAGGGACCGTCGGGTGCAGAGGGCTCAACAGTGGGGGGACCATCAGACGTAGAGGGGGCAGCGGAAGCAGAGGGGGCAGAAGATGTGGAGGGGACGGGAGCTGAAGGAATGGGGGGAACCTCTGGGGGTGTCACCTCTTCGAGTTTCCTCTTTTTCCCTGCACGAGTGGGCTTGCTCACAGCTGAAACTTCTGGGACACTAGCTGTGGGTACATCAGTGGGAGCCACTCCTGGCTGGACTCCATCTTTGGCTGTTTGTTCTTGTGCTGCTGCGGCGGCGGCGGCTGCGGCTGCAGCTGCCGCCTGCTCTCGGGCCTGGTTCTCCCGTTTAAGCTTCTTGGCCTCATTCAGCTTCATGCCACGGTTGCTAAGCTTAGTCTCGAATGTGCCCTCAGTGTCGCCGGTGGCTTCGCTGCGTTTGGTCAGCTTGCCCGGAACGTACGTGTTCATGATGTCGTCACAGTCCAAGAATTCAGCACCAGTGGCCTCAGCCTGAGCTTTCGCCGCTCGGTAAGCCTCCCAGCCGCGGCCGCGCAAGGCCAGCTCGCGATGAATCATGACCTCGCTGGGTTGCCAAACGGCATTCTTCTTCATCTTCTTCCGCAGTTTCGTCATTTCCCACTCAGTCAGACGCAACCATGGCATATCCTCGCTTCCAGGTTTGGCATCGTCAGGAGGTGGCTTGAGCATCGCTAACGCATTGCTGGTCGATATGGCTGGAGCAGAAGGGCCTTGAGCACCGGTCGAAACCAAGCCAGAAGTCCGCGATCGCCGACG